TGTTATTTGGGTTTTCTTCTGCTTATTTCAATTTCATACAATGTTATATAAAGTTGCACAAAATCCAAATTCTTGGTACATCGTTTTATTTATCATGCTTATTTGCTTGTTCTGAATATATGGTTCTATTTGTTTGGTTAGGTTGAGTTGATGAGTGCATGAAAAAAAGGCATGCAGGTGTTCGATGAATCACCTTAATAAGCGCACTATGGTTTTCTTTGAGATACAAACCAATTGAGACAATTCTCCTGGTATATACTTAAAGGTGAACTTTTAGGAGGACCCAATGAACCCATCTAAATGGAAGGAAGAACATGTGAGTTTTATTATAATTTGTCTACGAAGATGTCTTTACAGTGCATTATGGTTTTCTTAGATCACCGTTGACATTAGTTTGATTACCCTTTAACAATGCTTGAGAAATGTCCCTGTTTTTACATGAGGACTTACACAAGTGCCATATTATGTCAGTTTATTGTGTCATTTGATATTTGGAATTCTATTATATTTATTTTCTTATTTTTCAACTTTTGTGTCATGTCTTGAGTTTCTTTCGTTTCTACGTCGCCATTTAACTTGTGCTATGAACAAGTTAATACTACACTGTTTTGTGTCATTGTGAAATTGAGAAGTAAAGTTCATGTTATTATTTTGCAGGAATTCTAAGGGCTATGATATGGCAAAAAAGTGTGTGAGCAAACAAAAGAAACATAGAAAGGGTCTGATGTCACTGCTTTGAAATTTTGTATACCATGTGAGTTAAATTAAGATGAACCACACACGAAAAAAAAAAAAAAAAAAAAAAATAAGAAACTTAGTCTGCTTTGAGTTTAAGTTTGTCTTTTCTTGATACGTAGGTAGGAGATTTTAAATTGGGCTTGTTTGTGCTTTTGCGCATATGCATATATAGCAATAAAAGGAAAGTGATGGTTCCAATAGGGCAGATCAAAGATGTACCTCATTAATACCAATTTATCTTTTGTATTACTCTGTATATACATATTATATATGTACATATTGATGTTGCTTTATTTTGTTTCCGTTGTAAATGAAGATGATGGATGAATTTGAGAAGGTAAAGGAACAATTGGTAGAGTACAAGATCATGTCACGGCCCATATCCCACAAGCTTGGTCTCTAGTGATTCGAAACCCTAACTCTTAAGTCTTGAGATAATTGACTTTTTTTTTTTATGACAGTTGGACCTAGATTTTGGGCTTCTAGAATATTGTTGTCATTGAGAACCTTCATCAATTTGGGGTGGGACGACATTCCATTTAGTTGCAAGAAGTGTGTTGTAGTTATAAGGAAAACAAACATGCAATTGAGGGACTATTTGTGTATCAGATAGACCATGTAATTATCTAGTCCTCATGGAATGAAATTGAGTTCAATTTACCTCAGAAATTTCAGTCTTGAATATGTTGTTTTCATTATATATTCGCAAGTGTATGCAATGGAAAAATACTTTTATTTATATTATACATTGAATTGAGCACATTATTATGTGTATATATAGCTCATTCTTCTTGCCTTTGTATAGGGATGGCTATGGGTCGAATCGGGGGTGAGTATGCCATTCCCACCCCCATCCCCGTGAAGTTTTTTGGGAAATGCACGTACATACTCACAAACCAGAAATTTTAATCAAGAATACTCACTTTGCAAATATTAACCACAAATATTCACTTCCTCATGTGAAAGTACTGAACTGCCCTTCATATAAATAGATACTATATTGACCATGTATCCTTCTCTGAAACCCAATTCCTCCCAACTCTTCCTTCCTCTCTCGCAGTCCTCTGTCGTCCCCATCGCACATCTAGAACGGCGAATCAATTCATAGCATTATAGCACATCTGGAAGAAAGGCATAACGCAAGAAGATCGTTTTCAAAATTTCTAGAGAATGGTAATGACAATCTTCTCTCTTCTCAATCCCTAGTTTCTTGTTTTTCTTTTTATGTACTTTTATGTCATTATTTTGTCAAAATAAGTAATTTAAATTTGCACAATTAAGTCGTTAGGGTTCCTAATATTACAACTCATATTCAACTCAAAACTTTTGCATTTGTTGTCTTTAGATTTGTTCCTAACTCTGTGATAATTTTTATTTTTATTTCCAACGAGTTACATAATTAGTAAGCCACCATATGACCCACCCAACTACAGAGATTGATCACCAATTGCAAGTAATTAATTGGGTTTTAGTTCGTATCATGTGGGTTTCTGTTGAGTATTGATATAGTGATTCTTAATATGCTTCCGGATATGTTTTCTGCTGAAATTCCTTATATGAAGTGTATGAATTTTGAATTAGAAATTGTTGCATTTGCCTTATCAAACCCTGATATGGATGCAAATAGGTCTTGTTGCGATTGATTTTATTATTTATCAGAACATGGGAAAGCTGAAAATAGGTATCTTCATGAGATCCTTGACCAAAATTTGAAGTATTGCAAGAGCATTAAGTAGACCTCCCCTGATATATACTGCTTCAGAAAATTTTGGTTGTTTCTGTTCACCATTGCCTTCTTTAGGAAGCTTATAAATTACATGTGGAGCTTCTTGAGTCAAACAATTCCACATTACCCCATTATTGTTCACCCTTTGAGGTGTTCTGATGTCTGGTTCTGTGCCTTTTATTTTGTTTGACAATTTCTTTGTGCTTTATGCGTTCCACTTTTTGCGATTTTCTCTTGTTGGTGTTCTAGGTTAGGAAGCTCCTTACTAATTAGTCTAGGAATTTCGTATGTAATAGGGCATGAATGTCTTGTGAGAAGAATTGTAATTTATGTAGGAAGCTTTGGTAATACAATAACAAATGTTAGAAACTAAATGATTCCAATTACAAATGTGAGAGAGTCACATACTTTAACTTAATGTTTACACTCGCACTTTTCTGAATCTTTAGTTTTGTTGTCATACTTTGGTGAATAAAAAGCAATTGGGAATGTTGCAGAAATGGGGAGTGGGGAACTACACATGCGAGAGAATATCACCTTCATAACACAGCTCATCACTTGGAGGTTCGAGATTGGACAAAAGCTACTGGTTTCTTCACGGTTAGAAGATGGCTTGAGAAATGAAGATGCGCCACCAGTTTTGTTTCACCACATAAATATTGTTGTAATAGGAGTGGAATTGGATATTAGTTGTGCTTTGATGTGATCAGCTATTCATTATTTATTAGTTGTGGTTTCATGAATTAGTAACCATGAAACTAGAGTGGATAGAGAAACTGCATATGTATATGTTTAGCTAATAAGTAGCCTCGCAATGTAAACTCAAGTTTATGTATTGCGCTTTCTTACTATGCCTCTATTGTTGTCTTAACTATTTTTTCACCTCTGTCTTGACAATTACAAAGCTAAAGTTGGACTAAGAGGTTTACGTATTGCCTTCTTAGCACTTTGTTTTTCACATCTCTTTGCAATTATAGAGTTAAAATTGGACTTAGGTTTACGTATTGCCTTCTTATTGCCCTTTTATTGTGTTCATATTGCTCCTCTATTGTTGTCTTTGCAATTATAGAGTTGAAAGACAATCAAGTTTAAGTATTGCCTTCTTATTGCCCTTATATTGCTTTCCTATCGTACATCTATTGTTGTCTGAACTCTTTTTTCACCTCTGTCTTGACAATTATAGAGCTGAAGTTGGACTTCCAGGTTTACGTATTGCCTTCTTATTGCCCTTTTATTGTGTTCCTATTGCTCCTCTATTGTTGTTTTAGCACATTGTTTTTCACCTTTGTCTTTGCAATTACAAAGTTGAAAGACTATTAAGTTTAAGTATTGCCTTCTTATTGCCCTTATGTTGCTTTCCTATTGTACCTCTATTGCTGTTTTAACTCTTTTTTCACCTCTGTCTTGACAATTATAGAACTAAAGTTGGACTTCCAGGTTTACGTATTGCCTTCTTATTGCCCTTTTATTGTGTTCCTATCGTTGCTCTATTGCAGTCTTAGCACTTTTTTTTTTCTTAATGTATGTCTTGGCAAACAAATTGTAGTTAGACTATGAATTCTTTGTATTGCCCCTTTATTCCACTACCCTTGTATTGCAACTTATCTTATGTATATATTAAAAAATTTAATTTTTTTTTTTTTTTTTTTTTTTTTTTTTTTTCTTTCTTATGTATATCTAAGATGTAATGAGATAACATTGTTAGTTCATCAATTTATGAAGGTCAAGTTAGAAGGAAATTTGTCAATCTCTAGTTTCCATGGTTTTATTGTTCCCTTTGCAAAGAAGGAAAAAAAAATACAAATGTAACCAAATCAGTGATTTAATTGGCAAATGACATGACAGATATGTATTGCATATGTATTGCACATGTGTAGCCCTTTATTGCTTGTGTATTGCCCTCGTATATCTTTTTTTTTAAGTCTGTAGGAATAAATTTATAACGGGATTATGAAGTTTTTGTATTGCCATTGTATAGCCTTTTATTGCTTGTGTATTTCTACTGTATTGCCCCTGTACATCTTTTTTTTCAAGTCTGTGTTGGAATAAATTTATAGGGGGGTATGGAGTTTGTGTATTTCCATTGTATAGCCTTTTATTGCTTATGTATTGCCATTGTATAGCATTTTATTGCTTGTGTATTGCTATTGTATTGCCCCCGTATATCTTTTTTTTTTAAGTCTGTGTTGGGATAAATTTATAGGGGAGTATGTGTATTGCCATTGTATAGCCCTTTATTGCTTGTATATTGCTAATGTATTGCCCGCGTATATCTTTTTTTTTCAAGTTGTATTGCAGGTATGAAGGTGGGGATGGGGATGAGAATGGCATACCCACCCCCAATTTGACCAACTGAATCAGAAAATTTGAATACACAATATAGGCCCAAAAATGACAGATGTTAACAACAATGTAGCACATAGAATACACAAATACATACAAAATTATGAAAATTTAACATAATTCACAATCCACAGAACACCAAACCTAATACAAATATAATTCAAATTCACACTCCATAACAAACCAACACAATTCATAATACATGTCCAACATTAGGTAGTGGAACATTGTTTTTACAGGTGCTTTTATTGTGGCCTGTGCCACTGCACCTTGAGCATTTTCTCCTTATGATATCCTCTCCTTGCGAGGGAATCCTTAACTTTTTTCGTCGACCCGGCATGACCTTTGCATTTGGAGGACGCACAACTCTACTTTGGACATCTTCAGGAATAACCCACAACTCTTGAGGCTGTACCGGGTAGATGGTATCTGAATAAGCATCCAACCATGTATTTCGAGTGTAATAACGAGAAGCCATGGAGTATACATTTAGTTTTAAGAAACGGCAAACTGCAACTACATGCTTGCAAGGTAGTTGCTCAAGCTGAAACTTCCTACAACTGCAAGTGTTATTCGTCAAATGTACGTGGCCGTCCATATCACCGTCCACGACATTATACTCTACGTGATTCAGTTTCACAACATTCATCCTTGAAGCACATTCCAACCTGCGTCTCAACTTTTTCTCTCCAAAGTCAGGGCACAATGTTGATGTACATTTCAAAGCAAAATCACGACGTTTACTAAACCATTTCACAAGCAGATTGATGATTTCATCAATCAAATGCAGCACAGGTAGCATCCTTGCGAACCGAAGGACTGAGTTGATTGACTCCGCAATATTTGTTGTCATTACATTGTATCGACGTCCATCCATATGCGCTCTAGACCACTTGTGTAATCCTGCACTTTCAAGATATTGAGCAACCTCATCATTGCCCTTGATCTTGTGAAAATGACGATCAAATTCAGCGATACCATAAGATTTCGCAGCTTGTTCAAAGTATAGCAATAATTTATCACGTTTTTTCAATTTGAAAGTGCGTTTCATGTTCCCCTTCATATGGTAAAAGCATATGCCATGTTGCGCCGTTGGAAAAATGTTGTGCCACACATTTTCTATGCTAATATTCCGATCAGAAATAATCACAAGATTTGGACACTCACCAATAGCTTCATGAAGCTTGCTGAAAAAACCAATGCCATGATGCATCCGTCTCTAAATCCCCAATTCCAAAAGCAAGAGGATATATATTTCGATTTCCGTCAAATGCATTGGCAACAAAGAGGACACCTTTATACTTACATTTTAAATGCGTGGCATCCACAGCAATGACTGGCCGCATTGAAGATTGAAACCCTCTAATACATGCCCCAACAGCCATAAAAAATACAAAAAGTGATTGTTCTCATCGGTGTGGATGTATGTCCTTGTGCCAGAATTCACACGTTCTAATTCATGACAATAAGCTGGAAGGAGAGAATATGCCTCCTCTACTGAACCTCTAGTGGACATTAGAGCTAACTCCCTCGATCTCCAAGCTTTGCAATAATTAATGGTGACACCAAAGTTTTGTTTCACATCTCTGATTATATCACTTGGTGTGTATATTGTGCGAGAATCTTTCAATTTCCGCTTCACTGCATTACCAACGAGTTTAGCACTTGCGTGACGATGCTTGTCATGTATAAAACTCATATCACATTCATGGACCGGATTATATTTCACAATCATGAAGTTCTTTTCTCCATAACTAGATGCACGAAGCCGCCATGGGCATGAACCTTGAGAACAAACCACAACCAATCGACTCTTACAAGACTGCTTCACCTTAAATTCAAAGTGACCTCTTACTGCCGCCAACTGTAACTTGTTGGATAGGGCTTCCTTACTAGAGAAAATTTTCCCAACTTCCAATTTTGGATCCCAATTATTCCGTGAATACGCACTTTCAATATCTTCTTCTTCTTCATTTACAATACCCAAATTGTGCACGTTTTGTTCACCCATTTGCCTCCAATTATGTCGAATAGAACGTTCAGACGTTGTTTCGGAACCCACCACACCCACTTGTGAAAATGTCTCCAAATGGGCCAAAATAGGAGGGGCTGAGTGCATTTGCAAGCCATTCATTTCCGTACCATTATCACCACTATGCACCCCCTCCACCCCTGTAAAATCAATCATGTCTAAATATTGTGTTCCAAAATCACCATGTACATCACCATTGCTTTCAACTATGGCATTTGAAGAACAGGCCATTCGACTCATATCCGTCGTGATATGCATACGATCACCTACGACATTTGTCACTCCTTTGTCTTCTATGCTCACCAGTAAAGGAGCCACTTTCGAAGGAATTACGTCACAACTGTACTTAATAAAAAATTTAACATCATCATTGTCCTCAATCTTGATATGCTTACACTCATTCGAGGATATTGAAACTAAGAACTTTAAACAAAGCTTGACTTCCCTGTTGTCTGTATTAACAATCTTATGTACCCGTTCCAAAAGCTCACCAAATGTGATGTTTCGCGAAACTATTATGCCTTTTGTGTCACCCCCTTCATATGTGCACATCTTCTTTGAGGTTACCCATTTTCCATTGTAGCAAACCAAAATTGCAATTGTGTCCATTTCTGACCATCATAAAATTTCCTTTTGTTAACACATGTAAAGCTACCAATAAAAAATCTATCAACTAGTGGATAAACCATATAGATAAAACATCAATAACCAACAATTTTAAAACATCAGTATTATGCAAAATGAAACGGTTCAGCTAGTATAGCTGTGTTTCAAGCTCCAGCAAGGAAGGCATGTATCAAGAACTCTTAAAGTTAAATCCAACTCAAAGTCATTAACCTAGGGTATCCTATTACTAACTAACTACTTACAAATTGACAAACCTTGACTGTCCAAGATTATTTCATATTGAATATCATACCACCCAAAAGAGTGAATACATTACTTTCAAGGAGATCTGCAAGTCCAAGTCTCAATCACAAAACAGTGTATACATCATTTCAAAGATAAATCATAAGCACAATAAAATGTATCCAAGTCCAAGAGCTTAACAACCACATGAAATAGTTGGTAAATTTCATTCAATAACAGAAACAGCAAGCCACAACAGAAACCCCATTAATATCTTATTCAAAAACAGTGTATACATCATTTCAAAGATAAATCATAAGCACAATAAATGTATCCAAGTCCAAGAGCTTAACAACCACATGAAATAGTTGGTAAATTTCATTCAATAACAGAAACAGCAAGCCACAACAGAAACCCATTAATATCTTATTCAAAACAGTGAAAGCAATCACCCAATAATCTCAATCAATCAAAACAACCCAAAACCAAAAATCCAAAAAATAAAAATAAAAATATCAGAACTCACCACAGTGAAGATCGACGATGACGGTGCCGTGGCTTTGTGGTGGAAGTCGACAACGGAGGTGGCAAGTCAAGACTGTGGCTTCTTTATGGAGGCCAACAACGGAGGTGGCGAGTCGTGCCTTAGCTAGGGTCCTATTCCAAATTTGGGGTTCAACCTTGAGGTTGAAATCAGCTCCTAGTTGGAAGACATAACAAAGAGGAGATAGAGTTAGGGGAGATTCTATGGTTGAGATGGATTTTGTGAGGTTTGTCAGAAGGAAGAAGAGGAAGAGAAAGAACAACGATTGAGAAAAAAAAAGTGAAGGAAGGGCAATAGGCTGTCAATAATGAGTTTTTATAAAGGGTATTTGTGATTGAGTTTCAAAATAAGGATATTAATGAATAAATTAAGTGAGCCAGGGGTAAAGCCGCCAATTTCCCAACATTATACGCTTGAAAGGTAAGCACCTAGCTGGCTAGCTAGCTTAAGACCCCTTAAGATTTTTGGAAAAGGACAAAGCTTGTGCTGGTCATGGTAGGACCTCCATTGTTCTTGCTTAATTATGTAACTAAGGTTTAAAAAATGAGCCAAAAGCATATATATTGTTGTAAAGTCAAGAATGGAGCCTAAAATGGTAGAGCTCACTACCTAATTGATTGAAGAAAAGTGATGATGCTTGTCTGCCAAACATTCGAGAGAAGCCAAAGGCTTGTGAGTGAACAGCCAATATTTTGGCCTATAAAGAGACACCTCCATCAATAGAGAATGTATCTCTCCAGAAAAAGAATGAGAGCACACCAAGTGAGAAAGAAAGAAAGCCCCAGTAGAGAAGGAAGAAAGAGGAAGAGTGAGAAGAGAGAGTAGAGAGAGAAATAAATGAGCCAGTGAAATTGTAAACACTAAAAATGTAGCCTTATTATTTTACATAGTGAAAAGTTACTACTGCTACTCTCCGAGGATGTAGGCATAAATATTATGTCTTATTTACTTTACGTGCAACTCAATATTTCCACATATACCATTTATTTTACAACACGTTATCAGCACATGAAGCTCTCTACGTGGGATATGCCTTGATGACCACCCAGGAAATAAGCACTCTGTTTTCTCTATCTTGATTATTTAATATTAATCTAATATCTAACAATTATGACCAGCCAAAGCAGTGCAGGTGTGATTAGAGCATGTGCCGTGTGTTTGTGGTTGAGATGGAAAAGCAAAAGCCAACATGATATATATAACTTTCCACTAATATATTTTACAGGACCCGCCCTGGATTCCCCCTTGGAATTCGTGACGAACCCTGCTTACCGTATGACATCTACTCGACGTCGGACCTACTTTACTACACCTAACCCCAATTTAAAAGCATAAACCGTTTGACTCCTGCCGAAAATTCGGCAGAGTCTTACTTGTAATTGGAACGATTCCCACACTTTTAATCTGTAGAAAAACAATAAAATAACTTCTCAACTTTCAGTATACAAAGACTACCAACCAAGCACAAACGCAAGCAGTTATTAAAGACTTGGACCAAAATAAAAATCAATCCAAAAAAATAATTAAATTTGCAGCTGCACCTCGGTGAAACCCCGGCTACCTACATACCCCTTGGTGAGGGATCTAGCCGCATGTAGTTGTTATGACAAAAAGAAATTACAAATCAGAAATATACAGAATTGTCCAAGTAAAACCTACAATTAAATTTAGATTCATTCTCAACTTCAATTCTCACAAGACATATAACTAAATATTTTTTTAAACTCCTTTCTTTCCATAATTCATAACTCAAACTCTAAAACTCAAATTACTTTTCCAAAATAATTTCTTCATGTAATCATACCCTATCCAAGACGTACATTGCAAAACAACATTATCCAAGCATCATAAGAGCATCTCCACCCATAAGAGCTAAGTCTAGGGCAAGGGTAAGCAAGGGCTGCCACTATTCACGTGAATAGTGTTAGCCTTGCCATTTGTGGTTCCACCCATGAGGGCTAAGTCTAGGGCAAGTCTAAGGCAATTACTATTCACTTAAATTTATTTTTTATTTTTTATTCTTAAACCATTGATTTTGAAAAGCTTTTCGGATAAGATTTTCAATTCCCAAGTGTTAATATTTATCGTAAAATCCTCACCTAAAAATCAAGATAACATTTTTGGATAAAATTTTGAAATTAAATTGGTGTGGAAAGTGAATAATATTGGTAGGTATGTATAGAAAAAATTTCTAGAATTTTTTGATATTTTTTTTAAAATTTTTTGATATTTTTTTCAATTTTTTTTAGCCAAAAATTGGACAACCGTTGGATTGTGCAAGATTTTTTGATCGGAGGCTCCAGAAGAAGCCACATGGCTTGTAATCATTGGGCAATGTGGGCTGGTGGGCCCAACAGTAAAAAAAAATTGAAAATCAGCTGCTGACGTCAGTAGCCCGAGTTTTGGTGCCCAGGCAAGATTAGCCCGTGGGCTTGCCCAGGCTGGTGGGACCCACCATTTGCCCGGGCTCAGTGCTGTGCGCTGGAGCTGGAAATGGGCTGCTAGGGGGGCCTTTTGCCCAGGTTTGGTGCAGCGGTGGACATGCTCTAACAATGATCACACTTGTGCAGAGCACTCACCAAGCACATGCTAAAGAAATATAAAATGTTGCGCATGTTACTCAAATTCAATTGAAATACAAGTGTGAAGCCCTAGTCTTGTGCCACGTGTATTGTTCACGTGGGGAGTTTTGTGAAGCTTAATTGAGTTCATCCACATGGAGTCTCTGAAGGAAGCTATCATGGTGTCAGAGGAGCGCCTCTGATTATCATCGGCAATCCTTGCTTCGCTGCTTCATTCTCCGGTATTCGAATGTCTCTGTTCTTCGAGCTTCAGATTTTGCTTTCTTCAAAGGCTTCTGTGTTGACTCATCTCTATTTTCTAGATTTTCGCATCTTGTTCTTCGTTCTCTTAGAATTCTTGCTTGTGGTTGCTTTGTTCCTTTTCTGCAACTCAATTTCAATCTCTGTATTTTACTATGTAAACCCTAATTTTGCTTAAAATGGGGAAGAATTCTGTTACTCCGTTGGATTTGCTTCATAATGCATGCGATTACATTACACTGAAACTTGATGAGACTAATTAAGTTCAATGGAGCTATCAAGTAGAAAATTTTCCCAAAGTTCATCGCCTATCTGGATTTCTTGATGGTATTGTTGTGGCTCCTACTGATTCAAATAATGGTGATTCTAAGGAATGGGAAGCTATAGATACAACAATCTTGAAGCTCATTGCTGCTAGTCTTTCTGATGATGCTTTCTCTGAGATGATCAATTGTCAATCTGCTACAGAAGCGTGGACCACATTGACGGATCGATACACTTCGATCTCTGAGCGAGGGAGAGAGAGAATCAGAGTTAGAACCACTGTGGTTAGCCAGATTGGTGTGTTTAATTATGAGTGTTTGTGTAAATCATGTCCGAAGACTCCAAACACTGCTGGATTCGCGTTCAATAATAGAATATCGAATTAAAAAAAATACAGAGCGCTTGTGTAACTAACTCGAAATAATAGAAATTGAAGGTGGATTGGATTGGATTGGATTGGATTGGATTGTACTGTAGGATTCAACAAGCACATTACAGACATTGTCTTTTCTTTACAAGCTTCTTGAAAAAAGTAACAACATCGGACATAAACATAAGATAACATAGGAATCTAAGGCCAAGGTTCGACATTCTTGTTAAAGATCCCTGCTCGATAAGTAGAAATAAATATCTCAACAAGGAAGGGAAATTGCATCCATATGAACGAGGTAATTGGAATACTGGAAAGCAAAATGACTGGTATGACAATGGATGGTTTTCCATCGAGCATGATGAAAAGGGCAGAAGAAAAAGCAATCATCATGCTGACTACAGATATAAAAAGGGTGAAAAGGCCTAATATCATTTTTCCGGGCAATGATTTGAGGAAATCATCTTCAGCATAACGTGATGTGAGAATTCCCAGAAATGTCATTACTGAAGTTGTGGAAGAAAATAGGGAGATAGCGTCTGAGACTATAAAAGTTTTGAACACCTTTTCATTCAAGAATATAGGAAGACCGGTATCTCCATTATTTCCTCCAGGAACTGTGAATGCTGCAGCAAACATCATGGTCACAATGAGAGCACCCACAACGGTACAAGAAGTTGCTGTTTCTTTCATTGACTTTTCGCCCTCTTTCACCAATTCCTTGTGCTTCGTGGTAAATAGGGCCCTTGGTGTCATACGATCTGTCAGATTTTTAGTTTCACGATGTACAGGATCTACAATACTCTCCAACTCCTGCAGTTCATCTCGCAAAAACTTAGAATTCTTACAAATCATTGAACATTTGCGCTTTGAGATTCTAGTAACAAAACTCATCTGAGCTACATAGGATGCTAGTGACAGTAATTAAATAAAACCACTTATGATCGATTTCTTCTTGGTTTTCCCCTTTTGCCAAAACAAAGGCACAAAAAAGAGAGGGTATTATTGTTTAAAGTTTTAAAATTAATAGTGTTGAAAAGGTTATAAGGCACTAAGCACTTCTTGGACCCATCATACAATATTTCAGAAAATAAGCGAAATAGTACTCAACTAATATATGAACACAATGTTTTGTATAAAAACATTAAAATGATTTTGATTATATTAAAAGGATTAATTGCTTTCCTATTTGAACAACTTTTTGCAAGTATAATGTGTAAGTGTTTGCATTTTGTGTTTTTCTTTTGGCTTCCCTTGACAATATTGTAATAGGACAATTATTGTAATTTCCCAAGCTTTAGTTTAGATCAAGAATTACTTCTCTAGGTGTTCTTATCTGGATAATCATTGTGTTTGACAAATGTATTTTCTGCATTGCATCATATTGCATTCACTAAATTTCTTAAGATTATGACTAGTTATCTTTCTTTCGTATGACTAGTCAACCTTTGCATTAGTAAAATTTCTAGCTCACTGGTTTCCAGCTGGATCTTAACCTAATTTTTTGTCCTATTATGTGAATTTTGTCTGCTGTTATGTGTACTATTCTGACCTAGGAATTTTTGGGTAAAAGTCATCTCTTTGGGAGGTAAGTTTTTGGAAAGTTTCTTGCTAACTTTCTCTTCTTCTTCCTCAAGAGAAAACCATCACATTTTTCATCTATGAGTTTTCCAAATTGATTTTTCGAAAATTGCTTTTGAAATATAAAATTTGCATCTAGCTAGATCAAACACTCTCTTAGATATATTTAGGTCAGATTCAAGATTTCTTTAAGAGTATGGTTTCGTGAAGAAATTGATCATTTTTCATTTGAATCCAAATTTTGGTTTCTGTCTGAGTTTGAGCTGGCTAGCTGGTGTCATGGGATGAAAGAGTTGAAGAAGGAGCTGCCATTGCCATGAAGGACTAAACTACTGGTTTTTCTAAGTTGGAGAAGAAGATTGCACAAAGAAGGTATAGCACATCTTCCTAAATAGATCTAGGATTTATTGAGCTTGCTTGTGTTTCTTTGTAAGAATCTTTTTTGCTTAGTGGATTACCTGATCGGTTGATGACCCCTAGTTTTTCCCAGTGGTGGGTTTCTGGGTGAACAATTTCTAGTTTGCATCTTTGTAATTTTCTGGTATGCTCTATGTGTGTGTTCTTGGTTATGGTTATTCATGACTAGCAATTGACTAGTCATAAATATATTTGGTCAAGGTCTAAAGTGTGAAGATTGTTGTGTTTTGTTTGAGTATCGTGTAATTTTACCCCTCATCACCTAAGTATCAATTTCATAATGCTTGAATGGGAACTAAAAAAATAGACAATTTGGATTATGAGATAGCATTGTGTAGGAGTCTGAAAGAGTGATTAGCATTGTACTAACGGATTTAACTAGTTATTGTTTGAGGACTCCTATATAAATTTATTGTTACTAGCCACTCGAGAAGCGGTCTCACACAATATGAATTTTTTTTTATTGAGTGAAGAAACTAATGATGTGGGTGTGTAATTTTGTTTTTGTTTCTTAACATGTTTTTTGTTTTACTATATGTTCTACCCTTAGGTGCCCTTAGATATTCTATCCCTATAGTCATAACCTAAATTTGCTACCTTCTTAATCACAGTTTACTAAAAGAGTAATAGAATACCAAAATTATAATACTACAAACACATCTAAAAGAAGAAACCAAAACTTGCATACCCACTAAAGTAGTAAAGAGTCTTAGAAACCCTTATCGCCAAAAATAACCTTAAAGCAGAAAATGTGAGTTTTTATCATATAGGTTAGCACATAGGTTAAAGTAAGTTAGATATGGAGGAACGTATATACCATATACAGAAAATTTCTAACCTTGAACCATTGTAGTTCTCTCTGCATCTGTAAAGCTGCACCTCGAATATGATTAATCTGTGTGTGCTGAGAAAAATTTCCCACCAAATGCAGCATATTATTTCTACAATTATCTGTTTCACTTAGAATTCTTTGTTGGCCATGTTTATCAAACTTATAAATGAGGCTAAAAATGTTTTCTTGACGGTGCTCAACGGCAAGTTGAAACACGGTGCTTTCTAGGTGTTCAATTTCGATGTCGTGGACGAGGCTTGGATTTGCTCTACATAATGAGTAATGACCTCAACATGCCCTTGTTCTATTGCAATGGCGAGTCCTACTTGCGTGCTTGTATTTTGCAGTCGCTTAAGCTTTATAGTTTTCATTGCACACTGTAGAAATTCATCAACGCGGACATGGATCTCTTTCATTCGATATATCCGATTGATTCCTAAGTTTGACATGAAACAATACAAAAATTAGCAGTTACTTTTGGAGGAACTGACAATAAATTCCGAGTTATTTTCCCTCATCCAAACGGAGGGTAAGGGAAAAAAACAAAAAACAAGGACGTGGATGTAGCGATGCATACCCACAAGTTCAAAGAGATTTACGACTACCAGCTTCCGGAATAATAAGCCCATAACTGCATTGCAAATCCAAACATGTTCGTAAAAGCTCTCCAGAAAATATGGTGGTTAGATATATGCTATGACATATTTGAAAATAAGAAGCCAAAAGAATAACGACATCTTATGGCTGATAATATATAATGCTTCTTTTCGTGATGTTTCTCTAGAAGTAATTAGAAATTATTTCTCTTTGAAAATCTGATACAGGAGAATATAGGATTTGTAGGAACTGACTGCTGCTGATAAAGAATTAATATAAGTAAATATCTACTACATGCGTGAAACAGGAATTGGTGCATACTATGTATGGAAGAAAGATGTGATTGTATAACTATATGGAATAATAAAGATGTGAATTATTCTAGAAGCACCATATGGAATAAGTAAGCATTAACAATAACCAAATGGCACTCCTGACAACGTACGTGTGCAAATGAGGCAAATGATATGCCTTTGATTAGCTTGATCGCCTTCTAGTTTTTGAACATTAGTACGAGCATCGTTAAAGGCATCGATAGTAGGTTCTTTTTCGGTATCTATAGTAGGAGTAGGTGGTACGTGCATACCTATTAAGATAAGAACACGATACAATAAAATCAACACTCTTATGAAGATCTGAAGTAGAATAAATTTGGATAGTTTGGGAACAATAATCATGTCAGAGTCAATATATGTCTTTTGATCTATTAGAGTTTGTTTTTCTTTGGTTTAATTAGTGTATTATTGCAATGATCCCACAATCACAGTAGTCTAAATAAATTTTTTTGGGTTACTTAATTAAAAAAACAAAACACATATAGATATGCCAGTAAAACACGAGTGGAGAAAATAAAAATATAGACCTTCCTGTGAAAGAAGTGGAAGAGACCTGATAATAGAGTAAATCTTATTAGGCAACTTAAGAAAGAATTTGAGCTTTCTTATTACTAACCATCATAAATCCATCGTTCCCAGAATTTGAGCTTGCTTGCACTTAAGAAAAAAGAAGGCATACCAGCCAAAAGCGAAAATGGGCTTACTTTAGATCTGTTTTCAGTAAAAGCCGCCTTCGGATGGCGCTGAACTAAATCCAACAGAATATCTGTATAGCAGAGTGAAAAAATACAATATAATTATGCGGAAAAAGATTTGTAAAAAATAATAAATTGTACGGGAACATATTTTAGTCACCGCTAGTAATTAATTATTTAATAATTGCTTTGGTTTTGGGTAAAGAGGAGAGCTAAAGTGCAGCACAAACACAAGGTTATTTATACCTACCAAATCGGCTTGTCACCACACACGCAGACATAACTACACCGGCATAGGCACGCTCCTCCAGAGTTTCCAGTGGAGAGGCAGAATAGAGATACTGAGACATTGCTACCCTTCCTTCTATAGTCGCCAAGACAAATGGAATTGCAATTTCTTCATTGTTAAAACGAATGCTAAGTAATTTCTTGTTCTTTTCAACCATGCACTTAACTATTTCATGGGAATCTCCTCGATGTAATACAGCTAAATGTAGAGCTGTTCGACCAATAGAGTCTAGTATTTCTAAGTCTTCCTCGCTCATTAGCTGCACCAACTCTTTTGCAATTTCAAACCTCCCGTTTGAGACTACGAAGTGAAGAGCTGTCCCATTGTCGAATTGTTCAAAGGTCGCGTTTAGTTTCTCAGGATGTTGCCTAGCATACTCCATGGCAGCATCCCAATCATTGTCTAACAAAGTTTGGAAGAAAGGCATGTACAAGTCATTGGCATCGCCTTCAGGTCCTACGAAAGTTTATGATTTAATATTACAAATCATTTTGATTTGGATTTAACATATGTGTTAAACTATGATTTGTAAAAAAAAACAAACAGTGTTTCTTTTAACTAATATTGACTAGAAGTCTCTATGAGAATTAAGACACAATACCTTCAACTCGAACTTCGATTGTAGAGTCTTCCTCTACACCAGCATCACCACTGATTAGGGTGTGGTTGGTGTGAAGTTCAGATTCCTCATCTGAAAAGTGGAATGCTTGATGTTAACATTTACAAAATTTTTGTGATGTCTGATACACAAAAGTCTTAGGGTTTAGAGGAGGAATCTGAAAATATGTACGTACGTACCTGTGGTTTTTGATGCTTCAGCTGGCTTCAACTTTGTTGCCAAAGTATTCCAGGCAACGTTGGCCACGTAGATGCCCCGAATTAAAGAATAAGTATCATCCCCACAAGAACTCTGAATTACATGTAAAGCCTTGGCATTAAGTTTGCTCCAAACCTTAAATTCAGCGTCTCGTCTTGGAGGTTGATTGGTGTCATTGACAAAGTCCCAAAGATCTTCAGCCAACAAGTAGATTTGCATCCGGAAGCTCCAATCTTCGTAGTTATCATGGTTAAGAAGTTTCAGATTAGCAATTACACTAGGGGCAGCTGTAGCTTCCATGTTCGATCTGTCAATTTATCCCATGTGAGTTTTATGTCAATCGAGCATATCATACGTGAAAACAAGCAAGGAAAAAAAAAGAAACAAATTAAGTGTAACTATGCTCTCACAGGTTGGATTGGGGCAATCTTCAAAATTAAGCTGCTGCTAGAGCTAGCTTGTAAATTCCCAGGATGTCCACATAGGGTACCCCCAACCTCTGATTTATATAACTAAAAAATAATGTAGTTTTCTTTTTCTATTTATATATGAAATAAAAAATTATCAGCAATTAAAAAAGACTTGGCAAAAGACCAAGATGATGCTCACTAGATCGTGGTCCCACTTAGTTTGTCACTATACTTAAAAGAACTAGTCACTCGTGAAATTCTCTGCAAGCTTTTATGAAGCCCGACCTAATAATTTACCGATGTGGGACTCGATATGCTAGCACACCTTTGGAATTGTTACTTAGAGATTCTTTGGACTCTACCACTGTAAAGTTAGTATAAAAAGGGGACGGCGTCCTTTATAAAATTCTAATTGATGTGGATAGTTTATCAACTGCCCCGTAATATTCTAAATTCAAATCTATCTGTAAAAATATTTTAAACACATAGACAACAAATGTACAATTTTGTTTAGTCTTTTAATTTAAACTAGTTGTGATTAAAAAATTGGGATAAATCAAAACAAGTTGTGACAAAAAACAAAAGTCATTCATTATGCCAGGTCCTTCCATGCATTATTCTTGGCAGTGCATCAATTTTTTTTAATAAGGTGCATCAATTATTCTTTGAGCAGTGCTATCTTCCATCTATGATCTGACATGAAAATGAACGGTGACGTCAGTTTTACAAGTGGCTCAGATTAATAATTCGAAGTAATGCAAGATGTACCATAATTTGATATCACATAATATTGTATCGTATTTTATAATTTAATTTTATTATCTATTTTAATTTATTAATTATCATAGTAATTCAAAAATTCATAAGTCTCACCATTGAAACCTACCCAATGAAGGAGGTCTGGGGATTTGGAGCAGGAGGCTTTGATATGATGGCTCCAGGAAGATGGTTGTGCGAGCGATCAATAGACATGGTGGTTCTGGAGGGAGGTCAAGGAAGGGGATGTGTGGTGGCTGGGCGGTGGGTAGTGGTGTCTGCGAGGGGGATGCTCTGTCAAATATGTTGTGCATGTGTTTTTGTTTCCCGGCCGACGGAAGGAATTTTTGGTCTTTCTTCTTGATAAGCCTATATTTTATATATATATTATGCCTAATTTATTTATTTATTTGTTAATTTCCTTAGGTTAAATTGGTTGTTTAATTGGTTTTGTGAGATTTGTGAAGGAATTGTGGAAATAGGAGAAAGTGTGCTAAAAAGGGCAAGAAGATGAAGATTGGAAATTAATCAAGTCAAGAAGCCAAGTCATTCCTTTTGTTGCAAGGAATGTTGTCAAACTTCCTAGTTCAAGATGTTTCAAGTCTTATCAAGTCAAACAAGGAGAAATAAAGAAGACCCTATTTTAGAATGAATCATACTTTTATAACAATTGTAATTATATCTTAGATAGGATTTCTAGGAGTCTTATAAATAGGAAGTTTAGGTCATTGTTCAAAGGATCCATTACCCGTCATCCTCCATCATCCATTATCCTATATATTCATACTCATACCCGGAAGATCCAAAGGAGAATACGAAAAGAGCTTGCGCAACCTTGGCATTCTACTTGGAGAATTCGGTGTCTTCCACATCTTCATCAACTATCATGATTCTCAATAAGTCCTTCATGAACTAATTTCTTTTACTAGGGCTACGATGTAGCCTATCTATGAATACTCAAATTCTTTGATATTGTTAATTTTATTTATCTATACATGTTGAGTGCTTGTTACTACTGTTCTTAATGCTTTTAATTAATTGGCCACTAATTGCATGATTGGAAGAATTAGGTTGAGACCGGAAGCAGATTCCTAGTAAATAGCTTCTTGTAACAAGTATCATAAATTCCATAGCCGACTCGGAAGACTAGGTTATGGTTTGTGTAATCTTTATTGTTTTCCACAAATCTTAATGGGTTCTTAGCTATCTAAATCCATAACTAGGAATAGAGTGGGTTGATGGTGATGAATACAACTAATATAACTCGAAAGAGAGTATTGGTGAGGTAAGGGAAAACAATTATCAACATGTTAGGTAATTAGAATTAACAAGCTAGAAGGATTTGGGTGGGATTAGCTAGGTGAAATCAGTGCCCTAGTGTTTTATCATCTTTGTTTTCATATTTTACATTATTTCCTTAATCTCATTTACTTTACTTGCTTAATTAGATTTTAATCATCATAATTCTCTTTTCGTTTAATTCAAATATAATTAGAAATAAATCACTCTAGTATTTAATAGATTACTTGATCCCTGTTGGAACGATACTCTACTTACTACTATATTAATTTGAGCGATATTGTCCACTTGCAATTAATCACATCACTTCTTTTGAGTGCGGCGCGTGCCACCACCAAGCCTCGAATTTGGGCTTGAATGGAATGTGAGTAGATGGATATGTTGCGTTCGAGATCTGACTTTAATCAAACAATTGTTCGGCCAAGCAAGGAACCTCCTCACGACCTAGGTTCTTTCACTACCTCGGGGTCAAGGCTTTATGTGAGCGACAAATGATGTGGAGTGGGTGGAGATGTAGATAGAAGGTGAAACGTAATGAAACGGAGAACAAGTGCGTAAAGTAAAGTGCTTAAACTTAAATATAATTTAAAGATAAATGCGTAAAGTAAAGTGCAAAAGATAAATAACGTAAAGACGAGAATTAAAGTGCGATAAAATGAATCAAAGCGATAAATAAAGCAAGAAGGAAATGAAAGCGATAAGAACGATAAAGTAAAATGAACTTGAAATTAAACTTAATTGAAGTGCGATAACAATGAAAAGTAAATCAATTGAAATAAACTTGAATTTAAATGACAAGGAAATATAAATTGAACGAGAATTTAAACTTACACTAAGAAAAGGAAGAACTCACTACACTAAGTACATGAAAAGTAAAATCCTAAGTCTAGGAAAAGAAAAGTGTGAGACGAAAAATAGGTTTGTCTATCAGATGTTGTGTGTCTTTTGTCTTCGTCTGGTGAGGTTTATATAGGGCATTCGTCAGCCCATGGGCTGGCCATTGAATGGCCAAATGTCAACCCTTTTAAAAATCTTTCCTTTTGAGGCCCCTCGTACTACATTGGTTGAAATATTCTGATTGCTTGATTCTTCCTTGTTTTGGAGTATACTGAAGTATTATCAATCTTCTTGATTTGTTTCCTTGTGAGGCCTCCATCACATGCACATTGACTTCTGAAAATCTTGGGCGTGAATCCATGGCTTGGGCCTTGACCTCCAAGATTTCATCTTGACATATGGTGGAACCTTGTGCCCCTTGAGTTTTTAGAATTCTAGAGTTAGCTTACCATCCATCGACCATCCGCCAAGATGGGTGGTATGGGAACTCCAAATACATTGGACTATATTTGAGTTCTCAAATATTCGAATATTGGGAATTCGACGGACATACCTCCCGCCGAACTTCAACTCCCTTGGCCCGACTTTGCTTGCCCAAGTGTTGAGAGGAGGGCGCCAAGGTGAGCAAGGAGAAAATTCACCATAGCCCAGCTTTTTGTAAGAGGGGTGGCCGACTAAGGTATTTAAGGAGTGTCGGGCCCAAATTTTTGAGAAGGAAGCATTCGGCCACTTTTGTAAGGATATCCCCGGCTACTTTTTTCAAAGGGAAGTGTCCGACCATATTTTGAGAAGGCACCACGACCTTTGAAGAAAACACCTCGGCCGCATTTTTGAGAAGGCACCATGGCCTTTGAAGAAAAGACCTCGGCCACTTTTCTGAGAAAGCACTTCGGCCGCTGGGAATTCTCTGCCGCTAGGAATTCTTCGCCAGCTAAGAATTCTCGCCCACTAGGAATTCTTCGCCCACTAGGAATTGCGCAACTAGGAATTCTCGGCCACCTAGATATTCTTTGGCCGCTAGGAATTCTTCACATTAAATCCGGCCACTTGCTAGACCCATTCTTTCAGCCATGCAGCCTTACCCAATCTCCTAGCCATGTAGCCCGACCGCATATTAGCAATTCAATACCTAGCTGCTTATTCTCCAAATCTCGAGCCATTCCGGCTGCAATAGACTATAGCCCGGCCGCTCGTGTTTTTGAAAGGTGCCCGAGTTTGGTGAATTTTCACCACCCCCAAATAGTTTTAAAGTTGGATGCTCTCTTCTACTAAGGATTTCGTAAAAAATTTGCTTTACTATCATATTTACCTTTCATATGTCATGAAACAAGGATGCATAAAAGAGTACATCCCCTGAACAAAACCAAACCATATTTACCTCCCTATCCCTGTCTAGCAATGGAAGAATCCCAAAAGGTGCCATATCCTCCCAAAACATCTGATGTTTAAGCCGCATGCCTACCTGGGCCAAAGAATGCGCCAGCTTACTGCCCACTTGGGGTTGGAGCAAAACATCCACAATAGGCAACTATGCTATAAGAAATTTAACATGCTCAACTAGACGGTCAAGAGCTGCCACCAGGGGTACTTTGGGGAATTTAGAATATGGGGAAACGAAAGCACTTAGTTTTGTCTGCGTGGTCATGTTGTCGTTTGGGCTGGTGGTGCCAAATCAGATTGAGTTGTAAAAAGGCTACAGGTAGAAGCTGGCTTGTAAATTCCCACTATGTGCACATAGATACAGGCAAACTTACTTCTGACTTATAGATAACAAATCAACGAAGACCAAAAAGAAGCTAACAAATCACCAATTAAAAGGACTTTGGAAAAAGACTTCAATTAAAAAAGACTTCGACCCATTTCGAATTGGGCTGAACTTTATTCTTCCCAAACTCTGGAACTAAAGGACATAATTTGTTTCCATTCAACTATTTTTGGTAGTTGGGCCAAAAAGATTATTGTTGGCAAGTTGTATAAAAAACGAAGATGTGCGCATCAAAAATAAATTTTTTTTTTGGTCAAACAAAAAGGAAATATAAAAATGTTGCGCATGTTGCTCAAATTTAATTTAAATACAAGTGTGAATCATCTTGTTTCAATTACAGCCAAATTTACAGGTTGTATGTTAGCGTACATCCAAAAGCACCAGAGTGAAGCCTTAGTCTTGTGCCACGTGTGGAGTTTTGACGAGCAATTCCACCTTGGGTTGAAACGACGGGACAAAAACTGGAGGATTATGACGAAAAGGAATAGTAGGCTTTAAATCAAGAAACTTGGTAGTGAGTTGTGAGGCAAGAGCACAAGCTTCTTGAACCGAAGTAGGCTGTAATAGCTTGACATCATGGCGCAATTCCTTCTTTAGACCTCCAATAAAGCAACTGCAAAGAATAGATGGAGTCATATCACGGGTGCGATTAGCAAGACGACGAAATTCCGAGATATAATCTCGTAAAGATCCTGTTTGCTTCAACTTGAGAAGAGATTCGGCACAGCCTTCCAAATCGGAAGATCCGAATCCTTGGCACAATGCCTTGCTAAAATCCTCCCACCTTGGAAAACAATGAATACAGTCCAACCATTGAAACCATTGTAAAGCTTCACGTTCCATGTGGAAGGAAGCAAGCTTGACTTTCTGAGCATCAGGAACAGAGAAATAGTCGAAGTAGTGTTCCGCTATGTAAATCCACCCAAGGGGATCATCACCATCACAAAATCGAGGAAACTCCATCTTCATCAATGGCGGATGGTGCGATGGAAAAACAGAATCAGGATGCGGTTCGTGATTACCGTCGCCAGATTGTCGAGAAAGGTAGAATCACGACGAGCCGAAACATCGCGATGAAATTGATTATATTTGGTATCCAATTGACTAAATTTATTATCAAAAGCACGCATGAAAGCATCCATGGTGGCCTCTAGCTTAGAGATACGAGAATCCATGGTGACCTCAAGCGCAGAGATACTATTGTCCATAGTCTGATACAAATGTTAGAACCCCGTTCGACCTTAACCCAAATGTACAGAAAGAATATACTATTTTTATTACTCAAACACAATACAATTCAACCTCCTTTACAATACTAATTAAACTCCTAATATAGTCAATTAATTGCTAATGCAAAAGACTAAAACACCCTTAGCATCCTATCATCATCCCACGATACTCGGCTTCAGCACTAGACCGAGACACCACTTTTTTCTTTTTACTCCTCCAAGTAACAAGATTACCACCAACAAATGTGAAATACCCAAACGTAGAACATCTATCAGTGACTGAACCAGCCCAATTAGCATCCTTATACCCTTCCACATCTGTATGACCATACTTGGAAAATATTAACCTCTTGCCATGAGTTACTTTCAAATACCTCAAAATACGCATCACAGCACCCATATGATCTTCACTAGGATAATGCATAAATTGACTCACTACACTCACTGCATATGCAATATTAGGATGTGTATGAGCTAAATAAATCAATTTCCCCACAAGCCATTGATAACGCTCTTTTATACTCATTCTCCAACTCCAAGCTCCTAAACTTTGAACCGAATGGCCAATGAGAAAATATGAGTGAGACATAGGCAATCTATCTTGGGAAATCAAACAATTGTGAATAGATTGGAGAACTAGCTTGACATGAGTTATTTTTATGTCCTGAATGAAATAGGGACTGTTTTATGAACCATTTTATTTCTAACTTTTAAAAATGTAAAGATTCTTTCTTAGAGTACCCAAAAGCCACTAAACATTGTTTAGTACAAATCCTTGGGCATTCAACAATCAACCCTACATGTCATTTTCCAAGTAGCACAATATGATCGTAGGATTCGAAAACCTTATACACTTCAAAGGTAAGCACCTAGTTGGCTAGCTAGCTTAAGACTCCTTAAGAGCATCTCCAACAAACTCTCTATCCTCTTATTTCTAGCTACTTTGGCTAAAAAGAAGGAAAATCCTCCTCGAGCAAACTCCCTACTTGGCTCTCTATTTTGGAGAACCAACTTTTGGCTCTCTACATCTAGTAAGGAGGAGAGAGAATTTAGCTAAGATGAGAGAGAAAAAGGAAGAGGGAGACGGAGACATTTGGGAGGTTGGTGAGGTTAGGTTTCTACTTTTTTATTTAATGTTGGATTTGCAAGAGAAAAAGGGAGAAAGAGAAAGAGAAAATAAAAAATTTCAGATTAGCCAAAATAGAGAACATTGCTGGAGGAAACACCTTTTAAGTGGTTTGCTATAATAGCTTTCTAGTTATTTTAGCTAGAATTCGGCTAGACTCTCCTAGAGATGCTCTAAGCTTTTTGGAAAAGGACAAAGCTTGTGCTGGACATGGTAGGACCTATATGTAACTGAGGTTTGAAAAATGAGCCAAGAAGCATATATTTCTACCCCAGAGAGAGAGAGAGAGAGAGAGAGAGAGAGAGAGAGAGGTGGTCAGAAATATGGAAGTAGCTGAAGAGATAGAGATTGCCATAGTTGGTGGCGGAATCTGCGGCCTTGCAACTGCCCTTGCTCTTCATAGGTACTTTGATTTTTCACTACTACTGGAGTATATTTCAAAACGGAACAAGTAGTTGATTAATTTATGCTTAATTATAGTATTTATTTATTTTAAGTACAAGCAATTGGAAAAAAGGGCTTACATACAAGCATTCTTGAGTGTCTGGGGTTTTCAAACCTGTCACAGGAGGACTTGAGGCCAAATACTCATAATGAATTGAGTTATACCCTCTGGCAATTATAGTAATTATTTTATATGTAAAGATCAACATGATTTAGGACATGGAACTTATGTAGGAAGGGTTTGAGGAGTGTGGTGTTGGAAAGATCAGAATCCCTGCGTGCCACCGGGGCAGGAATCACAATTCGAACAAATGGTTGGCGAGCTTTGGACGAACTTGGTGTGGCCTCAAAGCTCAGACAGACTGCCATGCCGCTTCAAGGGTATATATGTCCATATCTGTATTTATCAACAAAAAAAAATTCACAATTAATTATACTATTATTGTTTTTGTTATTGCTATTTTCATACTTAGGGCTAGAGACATATGCCTCAATAGTGGGAAGCAACGAGAAATACCGCTTGGGTAAGTGTGAGTATATATGACCCAAGTTAATTTCTGCATATTTCGTACATCAATAATGCTTATAGTCATCATATATTTTCATCAAATCTGTTCAAGTCATTTTAAAATAGAAGATTAGGCGAAATTTGCTCCCTAATGACGGTCAGATAATGCAAACATCCACTCTTGGCCCGGAAGGAGAGAGAACCTATACTCTAGGGAGCCCTCCCTACCTCCTATCCCCTATATTATTAAGAAGAAAAAGAAAGATACGTATAATCAGGCATGACAAAAACCAAAACCCTGTGAAGAAATCTAAAAACAAATCAATGTAAGTAAAAAGAAAACCACCTCTTTCTGGTAATTAACATTACTCTTACTAATCCACCTCTTTCATGTTTACATGAAGTATGTATCCTTTAGGCCTAACCTTATAATTTGAATAAAGTGACACACAAGTAGTGTCACAAAATTATGTAACATGTTATAATTGTTTGTAATATAATTAATTATAGAGGTGGGGAAACAAGATGCCTGAAACGGATGGATCTGATCACAGCACTAGCAGAGAGCTTGCCACGTGGCACCATACGCCTTGGATGCCAAGCACTCTCTGTTAGGTTAGATTCATCTACTTCCAGTCCAAGTCTTCATCTCCAGAATGGAAGCTCCATCAAAGCCAAGGTGAACAAGTTATATTTCATTTGTCAATTTCCAATGAAAAATAATATTAAGCCAAAATGAAAATTATACGTGTCAGGTTTTGATTGGATGTGATGGAACCAACTCAGTTGTTGCGGATTTTCTTGACCTAAAACCATCAAAGCTCTTCTCATTATCGGAGGTTAGAGGTTTTACAATGTATCCAAGTGGTCATAATTTTGGGAACCAGTTTGTCCAAGTTAAGGGTGACAAGTGCACAGTTGGAAGAATACCCATTCATAATAAATTAGTTTATTGGTTCGTCACTCAGAAAGTCATGTATGGTAGAGGAGGTAAATTCTTGATTCTTCTCTACAACACAAAATCAATTACAATTAGGATTCCATCCACTCCAGCTTACTATGATTTTGTGGATCGCACATAGAGTGAATATAATCTTCATATTTCTAGGCAAAATGACCAAACTATAATTTTTTTATATAAATACCGTAAGGTGTCCGGGCCAGCTAACGCACACCTCTACTAATTTGGCTCAGTTTCGCGAGTGGGGCCAAATTATAATTTTGATCCTTGTAGTTTAGGTCATTTTCTATCTCGGTCCACACTGTTCCTATTTTTTCAATCTTATTCTTATTCCTCTAGTCAATCAAATGACCAATTTAGAGTTTTCATCAACTAGAAACTCCTCTTCTTTAGTCAATGGAGTCTAGTCCAGTGAAAAAATATCTTGACTTGCAAACCCGTGGTCTTAGGTTCAAATCCCTATGATACCTTTATGGTGTGTGTGAGAAACCCTCTTCCCCTTATAATTTAGACTATCGCTTGTATAATAAATTTTTTTGAAAAAAAACCTCTTCTTTTCTTTAAAACGGATTTTCATTAAATTAACTCACAAAATAATCACACGACGCCCTCATGTGGTATTTTTGACCTTTTCTTTTGTGCTAGCCTAAAGCCTACATATGCACAGGGATCGAAATATTTCTACACGTGCACGTCACACTGACATTCTATGAATTAATTTGACACTTCCATTCTGATTTGGCTTTAATTTTAAGGCTAATTGGACAAAATACAATTTACGGAACCAAAATGAAAAATAGCTCAAACTATTGTAGAACCATGACTGAATTCTGATTACATACATGAAAGAAATTGTTTACATGAACAGGGTTGGAGGTTCCAAGGGATCCAGAGCTCATTCGGCAACTGACATTAGAAGCAATCAAAGACTTCCCTTCAGAAATGATAGACATGATAAGCAAGAGTGACACAGAATCATTATCTAACACACGCTTGAGATACCGTTCGCCGTGGGACATTCTGATAGGAAACTTTCGAAAAGGAAGCGTGACAGTGGCTGGCGATGCCATGCATACGATGGGACCTTTCCTTGGCCAGGGTGGCTCTGCTGGCATTGAAGACTCCATTGTCATTGCCAGATGTTTGGCTCAGAAGTCAGCTGAAAATTATGATAAAAAATCAAGGGCAAGGCGTATAATGATGATGAAAGTGGAAGAGGCTTTGGATAAGTATGTGAAGGAAAGAAGGATGAGATTGGTGCTGCTGTCAACACAAACTTATCTTGCTGGTTTGCTACAACAAGATTCAGGGTTGATTGTCAAATTTGTGTGTATAATCTTGATGACAGCTCTTTTTAGTGATATGACTCGTCACACTCGATATGATTGTGGATGCCTTTAAAACTCTAGTGTTGCTTTAAGTTGAAGCATTTTAACTAGATTCAAATAATGCTATTGTTCTGTGATTGGTATTTAATTGTATTTAATTTGAAATACACTTCTTATTGCAACGAATCAATCTACAAAAGTCAAGTTTATAATGAGTTTTTTGAAGTAGTTATTTTTTTTTTTTTTTTTTTTTTTTTTTTTTTTCCAATAATATTTGTTAACTACCATTAGCACTATAAATTGTACTCATGTTTGGTATGCCTCACTATGCCTCACTAGACTGAACTATGTTATATAATACTTGAAACCCGCGTTTGGTAAAGAAGGGGATTAACTTAAATGGGATTGTATAGTCCATCAGTGTAAAAAACCGCGGACTCGCTTGTCTAATACAGCGATGCCGAAATGTGGCTCCCAAAATAGCGCATGCGAGTCCGACTCTTGGCTTGAATCAAAATCCCACCACCACAGACCCAATCGAAACTTGCTTATGAGTCACAATTAAGTCTAGTTGCCGCTCCAAGTTGGCTTGGGCTAGTCAAAAGGCAGATTGATATATAGACAAACTAAGGAAACCAACAAAACCAAAAAGTTCAATATCCAATAATATGATATAATCATTGGCCAAATTGAAAGGGAAGGAAGAAGAGCTTTCCTGGTGGCGTTCAAGAGAGAGAAAAAGATCAAATCAATGAGTTGGCTCTGTCATCTATCAAGTCTCTGCCAATAAAGACCTCCAACAGTAGAAAGGGATGGGGAAGCAGATCTAGCTAGCCCAAAGGCCAGTTGAAAGACCCTAAATCAAAACTAGGGAGGCAGGGAATCAAGCTTCCTTATTTTTTCTGCAGCAGGGAGATGAAGGTTTTGGGTTAGTCTGGAGAAATAGGGTGCTTTCGAGAGATGAAGGAAAAAAAATATTGTTTTTGAAAAAAGAGAGGTTTTTTTTTTTTTTTTTTTTGTTTGGGGTCAGAGTGGAAAAAGAAAGGTAGGTAGGAGGGAAGGAAAAAAAATGTTTTGAAATGAAATAGGAAGGAAAAAAAAGAAGAAAACGATAACAAAAAGAAAAGAGAGAGAGAGAGAGAGAGAGAGAGAGAGAGTGAGTGAGTGAGAAGAATAAATGAAAGAGAGAGAGAAAAGAAGAAGAAAACAATAGGAAAAAAAAACGAAAACAGAAAAGAGAAAAATTAATAAAATAATTATTTTTTAGTCCGACACAGCACTAAACTTAGGTCTTTACTATTTTTACAATTCAACTTCTTAGTTTGACGCGACACCAAACGTAACTCAGTATTTAATCCAGCTTAGACCAATTTGAACTAATCCAAGACAATCATAGAATTTAGTCTAGTTCAAGATAGTCCGCCATACCAAACAACCTTACAGTACAATTAGCCTCATAAGCATCAACTCTTTACGCTGAGTCTTCAAATCAGCTCTCTATGCTTAAAAGGAGTCCAGATCTGCCGTCCTCAAATTTCATGATTCCTCTATGAGAAAGTAAGGCCGAGTGTGCAAGTAGAAGATCCATAAGCACTGACAGAAAATATCACATTTTTTTACCTCTCAATAGGAAATAACCAATGTTCGTGACCCGTTCAGTTGGGGAGAGATGTCAAAAATTTATGCAAGGGACAGAGGGCATAGGAAATTCGGAGACAGCGGATCTGGACAAGTTTAGAAGGAACACAAATTATAACCAAGAAAAAGAAGTAGACACGTAAATAACTAAAAACAACAGATCAAGTCTGGAGAATGAAGTGTCGATACAGATCATGAAGTGATACAAGATGCAGATGGTACTTTTTTGAATTACCTCAAACCAAGTACACGTGGGAGCAAAGTACAAATAGAAGATGCTGGTCAAAAGTGAAGCGACAATTGTATGCAAGTGAAGATAAATTTAAATTTTTGTGATACAGAAACTAACCAAAATTTTCCTATTCTAACTAATTTACTGATTACACTAAACACAAGCTTGTGTAAGCTACGTGAATAATATGGTGCCTCATGCACTGCAGATCCACTGATCTGACTCTTATGTGGACATAATATTACAAGCAATCAAAATTGATTGAATCAATAGCAAGCTTTATGTTGTTGTAGAGCAAGCAAGTTGGTGCCTGCACATGTATGTAATGAATTGCCGCATCAAAACCGATCATCTATGACTATCTGCTACGATGGCTGAATCTGATCTCGCCGAAGCATCTGTTGGAGTTTAATGACCTGTTGTTGCTGTTCCGGAGACAATGAACTCAGCTTTTCAGGTGTTAGGCTCAAAACTTGTTGTAGTAGCGCAGACTCCACCCCAGGTGGAAGCTGAGACAGAAAAAGAAAACATATGATGTCAGATACTCAGATAAAATGGGAAATTGGCAACTACCATGTAGCATTTCTTGCCCAACATTTTTTGGAAAAGAAGAAACTTTTATTATCATACAGTTTAATAAGTACATACAGTGGACACTATAAACCACTTACTAGAGTTAAACGTACTAAGATTCAGGGGCAAAGTCTTTATGTTATACATGCTGGTTTATCAAGAACACATGAAAAAAAGGTACTTCGAGTTGTTGAATCATCTCTAGGGATGGCTTAGAACCAATAGTTCATCATGTAATTGATATTTCCTTTCTAGACCGAGTTAAGAGAACACCAAAAGTTCACCAAAATTATTATAAAGAAAAACTCATTATCAGAAGAAAAAAAACGAAATCCTTCAGCTACTCAAATATGTGGAAATCCAAACACTTTTCCAAAATCTGCCAAGTATAAAATCCCACTTTTTTTTTTAAAGCCTAACATTTCAATTTATGAAATCCTACATCTTTCCATGAATGCAATTTGGTTTTCCATTTGATGCTGTATCTGCAACATGATACCAGAACAAGAAGTTCATCCATGTTGAGGCCCAATTTGCACCATATAATTGAACCATGAGTTTGGCTTTGTGAGCCTACACGTGAGGGGATGTGTTAAGAATATAAATTCTCACATCAGGCTCCACCAATGCCAATTAGTTATTGGTTCTGAGTTGGATGGTCTAATTTAATATAGGCTTTATAAAAACTTGTGCTAGCAATTAACGATACTAAAAATAAATAAAAAACCTTCTGCATCACTGAGAGCAAGACAGCTTTCTTTTTACACAATAATGTCCGGTTTAAAGACCAAACTAGCGAAGACACGAGAAGTAAACTGGAACAAAACAAACAAAAACAAAACAAAACAAAAAAATCACCAAGGGAAGACATTACCTGAGAAGTTTGTTTCTCAGACTGCTGTACTTCTTCTGGGTTAGGAACAGGCTTCCCAGGCATTGAGCCAACTCCAAAAACATGAGGCAATGCAGATCCATTGGCATTAGACACATTCAGACGCCCTGCTGACAAAGAGGTACTCCTTCCATCGTCCAACTTCATTTGCTTTGCAGGGCGCTTAACTGATTCAAATGATAAATCATCATCCCTGTTGACTGCCAGTGACATTCCCGAAGACATTGAGGGACCAGGCTGTTACAAATATAGCAAGTTAAATAACACCAACAAATAGTGAAACTAGCAAGAAAACTAAAAGCACCTAAAGACTAGAAAGGTGAGGTAGTTTTTTCCCACCCTAGTTCTTTGTATTTGTAAATACAAACAAGTAACCTTCCTTAACAGAAAAGTGGAAGAGATTTTATGACTGTTAACTACAGAAATACAAAACATGCAAAATAAATTATGTATAAATTTTATCCAGCTTAACAAAATATTATATCCATCAACACAACTAATCATCTTTTTCTTATCCTCTGCTTTGGTGGGAAGTAGACATCCAAGACGAAGAAGAAAAGGATGGATATTTTTCTTCCAATTATAAAAAATAAAAAATAAAACATAAAACAAAACAACAGCTAGATATTAATATTTGCCTATTCATATGACAAGAATTAGAAAAAGTTGGCACCTGAAAGCTGGCATCAGATAGAGGGCGAGGAAAATGAGACTGATGTACAGAAGCATTTGGACGAACCATCTGAGTGTTATGCCCCAAATTGGCACGTCCGACCAGACCAGGATGCTGTAGCAAAGGAGGCTGCATTTTCTGATTTGAAATAGAAGAATTTGCAAGTTGAGTTTGTGGTCGAATGGGCAAACCGCCTGAAGACTGGGGGTGTATGGAAGGAAGTGTTGTAACTCCAGACTGCCCAAGCAATGGGGCCTGTTGCAAGACATGTTGGGTTGCATGTTGTGGAAGCTGCATTCGAGGTTGCATGTGTTGTTGTTGGGGGGCAGATAACTGGCTCCGAACCAATGGATTTTGAGGTACCGAAGAAAATTGGCCTTCTTGCGCTTTGGGCACCAACCCAGCTTGCAACCTATTCTGTGCAGGAGGGGGTAGCTCAGAAAGGGTTTGAACAGCAGGTGGCTGTCCCTGCTGGCCCTCATTGAATGGAGGCTGTGAGGGCTGACTTAAAGTTTGCCTGATATTTGGCATCTGCAGCTGAAAAAGGAGAGTCAAGGTGTTAAAAGGTCAACCCAGTTCAAGTACTTAACAATCTTGTTATGTCAATAGATAGTTCTAGGAGGAGAAACGAACCGTTTGCGGGCTCACCATTCCGAGCATTATTTGAGCCTGAAAAGAAAGTTAAGATATCAAATTCTATAAATAAAAAGGTTAAAGAAAAACATGGAAACGAGCATACCTAACTATACATACTCAATGCATTGAGATGGGTGTTTCTAGATTTAAAACTCAACACAGATGGATGTGGATGTTATATGCACATAATTGAAATGTAAACAGCTTTGACCCCTTAATTAATAGTATGTGCATATAACATCCACATCCATCTCTGTTGAGACCAGTGAGACGGGAGGGTAAGGAAGACATATACAAATTTCAACATGCCTTATTCCATAAGGACAGTCCCACTTTGACACAATAATTTGTCACCTTTTTACAAGTAAATATTCAAACAACTTCATCTCGTTCAAGAAGAATTGATGTCAAAAAAGGGTATAAGGAGGATGCCGATAAAACAGAGGAGAAAAACTGTGGAAAAAGTAAATCCAAATGACCTAGTTTCAGAAGGAAACCAGAAATACACAGCTCAATTATATCTTCTGTTACAGGACGTCAAGCAAAACTTTCACTAATAAAATTACACAAGAAACCCAATTTAAATGACGAAAGTGTAATATTATAAAATAAATTTACAGATTGAAACCTGTACAACATAAACACCAATACAAATAGTAGAAATTTACCTGGAAAAGTGCTTTTGGCAACTGTGGCCTTGCAAGCAATAGCTGACGAGCTAGTTCTTTGTTTTGTACAGCCATTACCTATCATTGGAAAAAGTATGAAAAACATACCAAGATGGATCCAGAATAAAGAAATAAGCTTCAGTCAAACTGCTCACCTTGAGCTCCGACATTATTTGATTCAACTGACCCCTAGACATTTTGGCCAGATGAAGTGTCAAAGGATCATTGGCTGATGCCAATTGATTCTGCAAGCCATTTTGACTAGACTGAAAACCAGCCTGAGCACCACCTAGAGCTCCTGCCATGACGGTTGCCGCAGTTATAGCTATATGGAGACCAATTGGCTGATGTTGAAGAGCTTCCACATGAACAGATGGGCCCGCTACTTGTTTTGTGGATCTATGATGCACCCATAAGAAAAAAGAATAACACAGTTTCAGGTTTCTCTTAGGTCAAATAATAAATAAGAGGGAAAAAAGGACAGAAAATGAGAGAAGAAAACTAACCAACATTTGCAGTCAGTCCTGGTCCACCACGACCCTGCAAGTGAAAAATAATTACTTTACTCTTACAATAAAAACAAAATTTATAACACCTAACTGTTGCTATTTTCAAATCAAGATGATTGATACCAGTCATTTGGCTAATTTGGACAAATTCCAGGGCAACAGTACTATAGCAAAAGTAATAATCTAACAGATAAAATGCAGAACATTTGAAAAAGAAGGGTTTTAGAATGCCAACAATACTGTAATAAACTAACTAACAGATAAAAGTCTGACCAATGAAAGCAAACAGCAAAATTATGAGTGTAGCTCGCCCGTATGGGCTCTTAACTCCAAATCAAAGGTCAAGCATATGAAACACTACAGAACTTTTTCTGCGAATCAACAAATACAAGGCCAGAGTCAAAAATATTAAACACTGCAGAACTTCTTCAACGAGCCAACAAATACAGCAATTTATACGGGCAATCCAGATCAGATTTGCAATCCAAGAATTTAGCATCATAGTACAATATACTTCTAGGTCATGCCCCTTCTAATAAAAGCCATGGGAAAGTAAAAGAAAAGTAGAATACAATACTGCTTATAACAATACTTCAGGAAATTTGTTATTTTAAAAAAAAAGGCGCAAAGAAAATGGGGAAAATATTGTAGCTAAAAGTCTCCTAGTACCTGTTCTCGATTTCGGTCAGCACCTTTGTCATTTTCAGCAAAATCAACTCGTAATTGCCTCCCATTGATCTCATAACCCTGAAGATTACGCCGAGCACTTAGAGCTGTTTCTTCATCCTTGTACTCACAAAATCCATAACCTTTTGGTTTCCCAGTCTCTCTATCAATAACTAGTCTGAAAAAAAAAGGATGTAAAGATTAAAACAAATTCAACAAATGTTTCTACTTTCAACCCACCCATAAGTCTGGGTATATAGCATACACTACCTACATCATATAGTAGTTTCCACTAATCTTGATTCCCTAACTGATATAATTTCATAAAATATCAACCTTCTAAATGGAAATAGCTAGCTAAAGCAAAAACAGAACTTTGCTTCTGAATTCACTCAAAAAGTTATCTTTAACGTATTTAACATCCGAAAACATATAACTTTGCAAACACAAGAACTTATTTAACACCCTTTGAATTAAAAAGCATCCAGTATAGAATTAGAAAATGACAACAAATCTAGGTATAATTTTGCGGTTAAAGATTAAATATTTTCCTTCGGGAATAATGATATATTGACCTCCAAGCGAATCATATAAAGCATAAATAGGATTCAAAAAGATATGATATTCAATTTTTTTTTCTTTTGGTTCTAGAAATTCAATTTAGGGTTTAGGAAGAAACGGGTTTATGTTAAACTTCTAATTTCTAATTGGGAAGTGAGTCAACTGACTAACCTGAAAGATACAACAGGGCCAACCTCCTGGCAGATTTCTATAAGCTGTTCCTCAGTGGCATCATAAGGTATATTCCCCACTGCATCACAACAAATTTAACCACAACAAAAAAAAACATTACAATTTACCCAAAGATCCACATAAGATTTTCAGCCAATTTCTACAAAACCCTTAAAGTTAAGGGAAAAGTAATTGCCATTCGAACCCATTGCAATGAGTAGGATTTGAAATCGAAAGCCACAAGATTTCATTATTGCATTTTTATTTTCTAAAGGAATATCCTGGGAAACAAACAAAGAATGAATCAGAATAAGGGAGAGTACCAAAAACGCAGCGGTGCTGAGAAGCGGCCATGAATTAATAGGAGAAGAAGAAGGTGAAGCACTGCTTCATCTTCTTCCTCCTTACCATTCTTTTTTGTCTTCGCTTTTCACTGTTTGCTTTTAAAAACTCTGACAATAACAACTAGGCAGATTAAAGACCCTAAATTCGATACGAATTTGTGAATTCTGAAATTGGAGAATGCAAAGTAAAACAGCACAGGCTCGCAACCAGTGCCTTAAGGCAGAGAAGCTCAAGATTTAGAGAGAGAGAGAGAGGAGAGAGAGAGAGAGAGAGAGAGAGAGAATTAGAGACTCGATCTCGTGAAGGAAAGCAGAGAATCAAGAAACTGCCCTCTTGAATGTTTTTTGGCCTTTTTCCTTTTAATTACAGGAATCCGGGTCAATTCGGTTTGTGTCTCATTTTACTGCAATCCAACCTATTTAATTACTATAAATAATTATAAAAAAAAAGGCTCTATTTGAACCCCAGCAAGTCTTTCTCCCGTCTGCAACAATTTTTTTTTCTGTTGACAAACACGACTTTAAAATAAAATAAAGGCTTTTTATCACAAATAGTTTCTGAGGTTTACGCCATTATCATCTTTCATTCCTAACTTTTTTGTGACACTAATGGTCCTTAAGATTATCATTTACATATCAAAATGATCTCTGTTGTTAGCTTCCGTCAAATTTTTTGTTAAATGGATGACATGACATGTGTAAGCCCACACATCCAATGGCATAGAACCACATGATATTAAATATAACATATTTTAAATATTTATAAAACTTAAAATTCATAACAAAATAAATTAAAAGCAACTTAAATCTTTTTATATATTTTTAAATCTCTCTCTCTCTCTCTCTCCCCATACACATACACACACATATATATATATTTGAACATAGCATGAAAGAGATTTAAAAATATTTAAAAATATTTAGGTTGCTTTTAATTAATTAATTTTTTTAAGTTTTAAAAATATTTACAAAATATTATATATATTTAAAATCACATGGCTCTATACCATTGAATATGCGGGCTCCACACATATGTCACGTCAGTAATTTAACAAAAAATTTGACGGAAACTAACGGCATGAACCATTTTGATGTGTGGAATGTAACCTTAAGGACTACTAGTGTCACAAAAAAATGTTAGGGACGAAATGTGATAATTTCATAAACCTCAAGGACTATTTGTGATAAAAAAAACCTAAAATAAAAAAGCTATTAGTATAGGAGGTTCGAATTCAGTGCAAAAGGAGACAACATTGTCTTGGCCAATTGGCCTAAACCCTTCTTTGATTCCATAAGCAATTTTTTTTTAAAGCACGAAATCTAGTTTTACCGTCCCTTTCTCCTCAGCTCTATATTCTAATAAATATCTACTTGACAACGAAGTCTAATCCAGAGGAAAATGACCTTAACTTGTAGACCAATAGTCTCATGTTCAAATTCCAATAGCACCATGGCAGTGTGTGTGACAAAATTCCCCTCCCCCTTCTAACTTCGGCTAAGAAAAGCAACGAAAAAGAATATATATCCACTTACATGTGGACGAATTATACCACTTGGACATACTCATGTGCTACACTATTACTCGTAGTCACCCACTTTTGGATTTAATCTAAAAGGTTTTTTTTCTGGGGGGGTGAAATGTGCTTCATTGAAACAGAAGACCACAAGCTACAACCATTGACAGTAGTCCACAAAGAAAAGATAACAATACACAAAGAAACTCCTAAACACAGAACAACATGACCATAACAAAAACCAGTCACAAACCAGATCCTACACTGCTCAACTAGTACACCACTCCTTGCGGAGGACAAGGGAGGCCATCACGGGACATAATGACCACCAGGGATCTTGGGGTCTACTGACCCAATCTTCAGCCCGTACCACCCCTCCCCGCGGAGTATAAATTAATATCATAGACGATCGATTTCTGTGCTATCATTTAAACTCAACTCTGGTTTTTTTTACTAGTTACATTCGAAACTTCAATTCTTTCAGACAACAAATAAGATGTATTGACCCAAATTTTAATTTGTGAGGCTTGTCTTCTCATATTTTGATGTATCAATTCTTGTTTATCCTCTCTAGAGTCTATACAACCGGTTCACTATTTGTCATTGCAAAACTGATTTTGTGTTAAAAGAAGCAAAAAACATATTCAAATATATTACCTCTTGATTTTTGTGGCAAAAAGAGATGATAGAAGTCATGAATCTAGGAACTTTTAGATAGGGTAATCAAGGTATGGGAATCAGATTAACTACTCCCCCTTGTTAATTCCTTTCCTGATTTTAACATGGAATCAACATTTTTTATTATTATTCCTTATGTGTTAGCAAACATAGTGGAAGTTAGGAATTGAAATCATTACAATACTCTTGTGTTAGTAAACACAAAAAAGTAGGAATCAAAATCATTCCAATACTGATACGTAAATATGTTGTTTTCTTCTCTTTAACTATTAAAAAGCGATTATTTTATTCTTCTGACCGATCCGGGGAACGTGGCTCAAAGTAATGTCTTTCAGCATCAACTTCCAAGATGTCAATTCATTCTCCAAGGTCTAAAATAATAACCATGTAATTGAGTGGTCAAATGATTTCGGACTCAGATAATTTTTTACATAAATGGTATTTGAGGAGATATCGAAATACTAGACGTTCATATCATTGAAAGACAATGTGCGGTGGTTTGTACATGTAGACCTGTTCGTTTTGAGAGGCAACCTTGTAGGGCCCACCAGTGGCGGACCCACAGAGGCGCAAGGAGGTGTAGTTGTACCTCCCCTTGCCAAAAAATTCTGTGGAGAGGTTGGAGTACGCCCCTCTTCTAGTGCCAAGGTTCTGCATCTGAGGTGTGTTGCAAGGCTTTTCAAAACGAGGAAGATGACTTGGGTTCATTTGTTTGTAGCGCAAATGACGCCGTCTTCTTAAAACTTTTGTTTCCTTTCTTGTTAATGAAACAAGGAGTTTTGAAGCAATTCTAACTTTCAACAATTTACTACTTTAAACTTTTTATTATTCCCCAGCTCAAAAAGCATTTTTATTATCCATGATAACCATATGCCGCGTAGATAGAATTCCCTTCTATCTTCTACCTGATAGAGAACCCATAATCCCAAAATCACTTCCCAAATCTATCAAAGCTTTCTCAAGTGGAAAAGTATTCATAGGTTAGTCTAGAAGATAAGTCATTATTAGTTAATATTTCATGTGGTTTTTATAGCTTATTTCTCACTTTTATTTTCCCCCCTCCTCTTTATCAGTTGTATGGCTGATTGAGTATTTTATATTTGGGGATTGATTATTATGCTTAAATGACAATTAGTATTTATATTTGATTCTATTAAACTGATTATTATGCTTCAATAATAATTAGTAGATTTATAATTTTTCTTGTCAAAAAAATTGATGTCTCAAAAAGCTTACTCCTTAATGATTTGATGCTTATGTGTTAGACTAAATGCCTCAAAGAGGCTTTGATGTTTTGTTTGTAATGTTATTTTTTTTCATGAATTATGAATGACATTAGTATTGTTTAAATTCTAAAGGTATATGGTTGTCTAAATTTTGTTTAGAACTTTTAGCCTTTTAAATATTGCCCCTTCCCTTAAAAAATGCTAGGTCCACCACTGCCACGAATTGTATTTCAATGATTCGAACTGTCTAATTTTTAGATATCCCCTCAAAGCCTATCTCTGTAAAAAAATCACTTGAACCAAAATCATTTGACCACTCAATTAGACGGTGGTTGTTTTAGTGTTTTCTTTCTTGAAAAACTGTGATGTCTTAATGGTTTTCAATTTTTCTAATTTTTACAACAATGATATATTAAAGAAGACTTGAAAAATAGATAGTTTTGATTGTTAAATAAATTTGTCCTGGACCCTAAATGAAAAACCATAATACTAAACAAATTATAGCTGTTAAATAAATTAGAATTCGTCACGCAATCACGTGCAACTATCAATCGACTATTAGTGAAACCAGGGAACTTGCTTTGCAATACAAGCACAATTAGTAAAACCAATATGCGTGTACCTGTCCCACATCGCCCAAGTATAGGCTGGAGGTTTGAGGTGGGCGCCTATAAATACAAAAGGATGATCATGTAGAAAAATACTTACCTGGACAGGGTCTATGGGCGATCAAGAAGGCCCATGGCCTAGGTTGGTGACCTCCATTGCACTTAGGAGGGGTGTCTGCCTATGGTCTCCTCAAGTAGGAGAGCCAATGTCATAATTTGTTGCTGTGGGGGCTTGCGTTCGCGCAGCCCCTACCCAAATTTCAGTGCAATATTTTAAAACGAGAGTAATTCTCGTGCCTAAATACATGTAGTGTATTTTAAATGGGGAGGATTCGGGTAAGGGGTTGAAATAGCATCTCTGCCCTATCCCGAACTTCATACTTATAAAAATTTCCCAAACTGATCCATTAGGGGGGTAAAGCCTCATGAAAACCCTAACCCATGAAGAAAATTTTCATCCTTGTTTATGTTTGAAACTTTCTCATTTTGCCCTCATTAAATTTTGAACTTCATACTTATAAAAATTTCCCAAACTGATCCATTAGGGGGGTAAAGCCTCATGAAAACCCTAACCCATGAAGAAAATTTTCATCCTTGTTTATGTTTGAAACTTTCTCATTTTGCCCTCATTAATTTTTTTTTCTTCTCTTTTCTTCAATTTCCATTGAAACTACCAAATATAGCAAATATGCCACTAAATCATGACTACTAAAATTATAATTGTTGATTTATCAGTGAATCTTGTAAACATTCGAGTAAAGAGAATCACTTTTTACTAGTAAAAATAAGAATGAACTATCATATCCCTCCATCTTTCAACCAACACCAAAAGCTCATTTGGTTTCTAGGATTAGATTGGATTGAATTGGAGAAGTCGCTAAATCTAAAGGTATATTGAAGGAGGAAATGAAGGTAGAGGTGAATGATTCTCCACTTTGGGAGGATTATGAGAGATAAGTTATAAGGTGTTGCTATCCTACCATTTTGTGGGGAGTAGATGCGATAAGTTTTTTTCATGAGTATTTCATCTTCTACCTTCAACTTGGTCAAGATTTTTGTCATTTCTTCCTTTAACATGCTTCAAATATAGAGAGTTATCCAATCCAATCTAATACTAGGCATCAAATGAGCCCTAAAAGTGTTTTTACTTTTAGGCTTATATGGATTTTAATTTTGTGTCTATTCAAGTTAGATTTTTGCTATATTTGAAAATTTTTATAAAAATTGACATTCATTAAATTAGAGCTATATTTTGACCATATTTGATAATCATTTCAATTTTAGTTTTTAGTTTTCATTTTTTGTGCTAAGGTATAGAGGAAAATGAGAGTGAGAATGGGAGTAAGGATAAGATTGAGAGATAGGATGAGAGGGGAGGGTGGGAGAGATGAGTAACAAAAGTGAAAACAATTTCAAGTAGATTTCAGTTTTCAGTTTTTCTTTCAACTTTTGTTACTCCTCCCTCTCATCTTCCACTCTCATCTTCCCTCTCAATCCCATCTTCACTCTCATTTTCATTACCATTCTCCATGTTTTCCTTCTATACTCTAGCACATAAGATGAAAACTAAAAATGAAAAATGAAATGATTATCAAACGGCCTGTGATTTCCTTTTTCATGAAAATGAAAAGAAAACAGTGAGTCTGAAGCCCCAACTAACAAAAAAGAAGTCTTGATTGGGAGCCTTTGACTAGTTTACTCACACTTCTTCAACGCCATTCTAAGCGGTTCTGCCTATAAAATAAAAAACAGCTCCTTTATTTCTTTCTTAGTCCTACATAAGGCAAGCTTGATTCTTAAAGAACATTAGTAACTTTGGAGGACTATATCCATTAGATTTCGCCGTATGAAAGAAAAATGATGTAAAGACTTTTTTGACTTATGAATCCTCCAAATAAATGAAAATAAAATAAATCAACCGCTGACATGTGCACGGCAGGTGCAGTTGCATGCGTACTAGGGTTCAATTGCAAGTATGAGAACGCAAAATAGCAATAGCGACCATGAAACACAATAGCCTGCAAGTTATATCTAGAATTTTCTATTTACACGAGAGAAAGGAGGAAAATTCATCCTTTACAATAAAAATTCATATAGATAATTGAAATCCTATGTTTCCATAATGGTTTTCCATCAATTTCACCATGATGAATATATATATAGCAGCAAAACTTCCCAATTAGAGACTCAAGCGGAGAGGCATCTCCACCATGGTCTGAGAGTTGCCATCAAAACCCAAAAAATGGCACAAAGTGCTACAAGAACTGGAAGGAAGAAGAAACCTCTCTTTCTGCCTGCCCTCTTAGCTTCAGAACTACTACCTGCAGTGACATTAGCACTAACGCTATTTATTCTCAACCTGCTAAAGCTAGACATTCGTTCAAAAGCCCGATTCACCAAAGCATTCTCTGAAGCAGATGCAGGAGTAGTAGGTATAGATTCCACAAAGGCCCATAGAGCAGAAGAGAACTGACTTGGACCACCAGCAGCCTCATTGCCGCTTTGATTTTGATTTGCTTGGGAAGCAAAATTTGAAGGTTCACATACCACACCTAAACAAAACCAGATAGGAACTACCTATATTAGTGACTACTAATAATAAGATTTAAAGTTCAGTTGGACATTCCAATGTACCACAAAGGGGCAAAGGGAATTGAAATATATAACAAGTTAGTCATGCCAATCACTGAAATCAATGATACATTAGAAGAATACTTCTAGAAGAGCTCTCGAAGCTGAAGGCATGCACTTAATAATAGATGTGCAAAAGCATCGATAATTCATCTCCATTGATATATGTACCTGAGGTTGAATACGAGAGAAATCCCTGATTTGGTTCTGCTCTTTCAGTATGTGTCCACAGCTGATTGTTCATCTGAGTTGATTCAGGATTCAGCTGATGGTTAACTTGGTTTACAGCTGGTGGATTGGGTTGTAACTGATATTCAAACTGATCTACAATATTATTCCCCAGCGAATTCATGTACTGCTGATGAGAAACTGTTCCTTGATCAAAAGGCTCCATGTCATGAAAAAACATGGCTGCATCATGATACAAGTCAAATTCACTTAATCCATCTATCCCTTCAAACTGCAAGTTATCCACGGGATTCTCAATGTTTGAAATAGTAGGTTCAGGACCAAGGAGATCATCCATCTCCAAGAAATCCTCTTCACGAAGTATGGGAGGACCCTGCTCATGAATTTCAGGAGCGGATGTGGTGACTTCAGATGCCTCGTACCGTTGTATTTGGGATGTATCTGACTGTGTGAAGTCAAAGCCTGCCTGCAGATTGCCTTGGTGATGACTGGATTAAACACTGTGTTAGGTTCTGGACATACAACTTCCCTGGAGTAAAGATCAACCACAGTACTTTGGGTCTCTTCTTCACTCACAGCCTGCATAATGAAATTGCATAAAATTTATTATATGTTCTCCATGACAGAGACAGAGTGCACGCAAGACTACAAAAATGCAAAATAATTTAAAGCATAATTTTTTCTTATTTATGCAATCATATTTCAGTCAGCTTTAACACTAAAATACTGATTGTGATGACTATTAAGATAACATCTAAACCAGATCCACCACCTCTGATCCACCCATGTTTGCCAAATATGGCACAGGCCCCCTTGTGTACGACAAGCTGGAATTAAGTTTAACCAGAGATTGCCACACAGTATACTACAAATCTAATAGTCAATAACCCTAAATAACTACCACTGAAAGAAAACAAAAGTGAAAGTAAGAGTAAGGAGAGACAGATTACGAACCTGAGGTATGGTGTAAGCGTAACCATTCATTTGTGGCAGCTCAAGCACAGCCTCATTAGCAATCTGTTTCATGAACTCCTCGATGTCACTTAGTGCAGAATGGACTTCACCATTAACTTTCACAGGATCAACAGAAATAACATCTACAGATTGCTTCACTGGGATTTGGCGATCAGCAGGGCTATTGATTACAGGTAATTCATCATCAGCCCATTCTTCCTCTCTAAATGGCGCCCCATATTGCTCTCCATTTTTGGGACCAGGTCCACTTTTTTTGTAGACCTTATAGAGAGCATAATATTCCTAAAAGAAGGGAAAACAAAAAGGACATCATTTTAGACTTCAATTTGCAGAAATATAGAAGAAATTCAATAAAATATTGAAAGAGAAGTTGTTCCAACTAATACCTGTACATTCCGGCATCTCTTGAGCTCTTCCTCATCCAAGGTATACTCATGCATCACCCAGTCAGTGCGCTCCCCACTAGGTGCTCGGCCTTTATAATACACTAAGGTCTTCTTCAATCCAACAGACCGTGAATAACATGTAATGTTACGATCCTTTCCTGTAGCTTTCCAATACCCATGTCTGGTCGCCCTGTTCGATCTTCCCCCATTAGGGTATTTCCGATCTCTCGGACTGAAAAAGAACCATTGCCTGTCACCAGTTTTCAATAGGGATAATCCTGCATATCATAACACTTTCAAATGTTAGTAACCAAAAATGCAATCAACAAAAACTGTGAACTCAAACATAAAAAATTAAGAGAGCAAAACCAGTTATTGAATACATACAGCATAGATTAGCATATTGATAAAATTGCTGACGCTGAAACCAAGCTAACATTTTAAAACGGAGAAGCAATTATAAAACTATCTTAAATAAATCCACTTAATTGCTGAAACAAAGCAAAAAAAGACATTCTAGTAACTTAAACACATACCGTACACACACACACACACACACACACACACACGCACAAATAAATGAGTGTTTAGGTAGATAAGCCTACAATCAATAAGAAACATACCATTTACTTGCATGTTAAAACCTAGATATTTAAAAACCAAGGGCTAGAACATATATTAAAATACTTTACTCTTACATATGTGTATTATAGCACAAACTGCTGATACTAAACTAGTTCATTTGATCAGATCATACAAATATCATAAAAGGGCACTGCAAATTCGGAGAAGTATGTGTCCAAACAACAAAACTGAAACTAAACAAAAACCCTGTTAACCAAACCCATTAAACGTAACCAAAGTATCTCACCAATCGTAGGCAACCAAACAAATCCGACAGGGCCAAATCCAGTCAACCAAACAAAAGATACTCCAAAACCAATCAGCCAATACAAAACACGTCAAAAGCAAAGCAATATAAAAAAACCTACTGAAACTTCGATGACATGATCACCAAAGGTTGGATTTTTATCCAAAAAGTAAAGATTTGGGTTTAAGAATTAACGCCAAACATTGGACTTTGATCCAAACGGTTGACCGTGGGATCAGGACTCTCACTTGTTAGCGCAACCAATCATACAAACAAAATAAGATTCGCACAAAACCGATTCCAAAACCAAAACACAAACAAACCCACATATCCAAATAACGCAACGATCAAAACCCCAAATCACATAATCAACAAAGACTCCCCATAGAAGAAAAAAACCATAAACCCATACCAGGAAGTTCCTCAGGGTCCCACTTATAGACGTCGGTCTCGGCGATGACATTCAACTTGAGCCTTTTCTTACAGATTTTGCGCTTCAGATAGTAGACGACGAGTTCCTCGTCTGTGGGATGGAACCGAAACCCGGGCGCGCAGAAGCGGCCGTTGCGAAAAAGCATCTCCGGATCGTCCTCTGAGCCCATCGCTTCGCCCCCCAGAAAAATCAAAACCCTCAAAGAAAAGTAAAACGATGAAGTTGAACAATAAATCAATCAAAAAGTCAACTTTATTTCTCTGTTCGTCTGGATCAATACGAACAGAGAGAGAGAGTTGGACTGAAACAGAGAGAAGAACAATCTACAAATGACACAGTAGGGCTCTAGGGCAAGAGAAAGAGAGAGAGAGAGAGAGAGAGAGATTATGCGGTGGTCAAACGAAGAATGGGGCTGCGGGTTTACTAGTGAGAGCGGACGAGAAGTTTCTTGGAATTGGACTTGCAGCGCTGCAATTTTCTATTTTTCCTATTTATTTATTTATTTTGAATTATTTTTAAATTTTTGTTTGTTTCAAAATTAAGATTTTTGCCATTTTTGCGTGCGATATGAAGCGTGGTGGGTAGGTAACCTGGGCGGGTTTATGGTGCGGCTCGGTTGGACGATTGACTATGAGTCTGACAAGTGTGATGTTTGTACTGGATGAGATCTAGGGACCGCATATTATTTTCCTGTTCGGATGGCTCATTTTTTGTAATTAATTTTTGTCTTGAATGAATCATGGTAATGCTTACAAATTTATAAATAAACTCAATCCTAGACATGTATTTATAAAAAAACTCAAGCACTATTTAAACATAGAAACACACCCAAAATCAATCCCAAAGTCAACTTTTTGGGTGTGTTTATAAATGAGTTTTGAGTGTGTGTAATGATGGGTTTTGGGTGTGTTTATATGTTTAAACAGTGCTTGAGTTTTTTTATAATTTCAACCCCCATTTTGGGTGTTTTAGTGAAACTCCCTTTTTTTATTTGACAAATGTTTTATTTATTTATTTTAATATCAGAGATATTTTTAAATAAAAAATATATTTAACTATATTTAATCTTTATTTATTTATTTTTTAGTACAAACAATAATCTAAATTACAGGGATGAGAATTTCTCACACATACAATTATAATGTCGTGAGGATTAATCTTAATTTCTTAATATTCAACTGATGAAGTAATTGCTACAACTATGTATTGCTAGTATTGGGTAGCGTTTTATTGCTCTCGGAGCTAGGTAGATTTGTATTGAGGATACTGGGAGTTTAAACAAAACCCAACAAGGTTCATCCAAAACAGTGTCATTTTGCTTGACCTGTGAGCCTTGCTTGCATTTAGAGAAACTGAAAAGGAGAAAGGAATCTCTTCCGCCCAGAATTTGAGTGAACACAAGTACCAATATGAATGTTGGTGTGGTGTTATGTAATCTTTTGCAGCTCCTGCCAAGTTGTTAATGGCTCATTAGATGACTAGCCGTAAATTCTCTGATCTTGGAAATTAAGCTCGGGTTACTTGCTTCGGTTTTCTTTCAGTGCAGTGTTATACTTGGTGCGTACGCACTTTGGGGTTTATGGTTTAGGGTTTAGACCTCACTTTCACATCATTTGGAGTGCTAGATTGTGTCCATAAACTAGCATATTACCACTTAGAGCACAATGTTACCGTTTCAAGGCACATATACTACCGCTACAAGCACCAACATGTGAATTTGATACACTTCCGCTCCAAGAATAAACACGACAATCGGAAGAGTACAGAGACACTCTAAATATAGATATTAACACCATTCCCGCGTGAAATAACTGAGAAGACAGTATTCGGCTTGCCTATATTTTGTCATGATTATTGGGGAGCAAGCTAAGCACATTCCATAAGAGGACAATGGACATTACCAGAGAGAAGTTACTGCTTCACTAGTAAATCCTACAAGAATAAGATGAGTGGCTGCGGATGCAATACATACTTACAAGATCAACCCACTTATACAATAAAACACAAAAGTAGGCCACCCAATGGTTAGAACATACAATTGAAAGTTTTAGGAACTGATTACTGCTTATTATGGACATAATTTCAGCAAATTATAGAAAATTTGCACCAGTAATTAAAGAAATATTAGTTACAAAGAAAGGTGGTATAAAGACAAGCAAAAAAGGAAAAAAGTTACCACCTATGGAAGGTTGCCGGTATGGCCGAGCTACAAGGCCAGGCATTAACAGACATGCAATCACGTGGACGTAAATTCAAAAGAAGCTCAGGCTGGCAAGATTTGGATCGGTGACTTTCCTCCCTGTACGCCACCTTAACGTCATACAAAGGCTCAAAGAGCGGGGAAAGTTTTTTAGGCACTCTGAAACTGATTATCAAAGCCACAAAAAATGCCATTATAACCCATTAACATCATCGATCTTCCATTTCCGCTGCAGTGGAGAGCAGAAAACAGTTAATTTGTATGTCAAAATAATCATTTACATTCTTGCTCAGGTATTTCTATCTTCCTGCCTAATGCACATGATTTCCAGGTGATCACATGATTATTTGCATAAAAGCATAAGCAAACAAAGAGTGAATGAACTAAAAATGACATGAGAGTTCTACATTGATGGTTCCCTGGGCCAGCTACAGAAATTACTTTAGTGTGGACGAGAGTCACAGGACAAACCGTTAACTTCCATCAAAATTTTCAGATCTGTGCGCATGCAAGCACCTATGTAGTTCCAATCATCTCGTTAAAGCTCAAATTTCCAACTGGACTGCTGACTGGCCTTCTTCCATGAGCAACAAGCAGTCAATGGAATCCCCACACAAGACCTCCTCTGCCACCAATGACGAAGAAGAATGGGCCAGTCCATATTAATTTCACCATCATTGTAGAGCTAAGCACCTTCTTTCAGCTCACACTTCAATCCTGCCAGAATGGAAAGAAAAGGACAGGAAAAAAACTGCAGTACAAGCTTGAGGATAGATGTGAAAGCATTTTAGCATATTCTTCTGGAGTCCTCAGAAAATCACCACGAAAGCCTCATAAGATGCTATAGTAGGCCCACCAACTTCCTTAATGCTTCTAATGCACTGCATATACAGTAAAAAATGTGCTATCAACACAAATATCAAAGGTTTTTAACAAATTTTTGTTTTAAGCTTCTACATATCCTCTATTTACAAATTCAGGACCAGGTGCAGTGAATACTGTTAGATGCTACTACAGCCTCATAAGAAATCTCAATGTATAAAGCAAAGTTAAGAGTATCCAGAAAAGGGAAGCACTACCTCTGTGGAAAAGAAGTACTAGTTCCTCAACTACTCGAACAATTATAGAACCATCTTCGTTTTCGTGAGACAATGTCTGCTTTTCTTCTACCACTGTCATGGGTGAAAAAGAAGTATTTCAGTTTTCACTTCCTACCACAAAGATGGGAGAATACAAAAAATAATAAATAATAATAATAATAATAATGAAAATAAAAAGTAAAACAATGTACCATTTGAAAATAAAAATAAGTGTTTTTCAAGCACAAAAGAAAATCAAAACAAAGGAAAAAAGGCCTATTTAAGCCATTTTTAATTTTTACTAATACAAGAAAACTAAGAACAAATGCTAAAAATCAAGTAAAACTAGAGATGGCAGGACCATTACTACTCGTTCTGCAAACATTAGTGCGATGCTACTACTTATATGCAGAGAACGATCACCAAACAAATCTAGTAAATTACTAATTACTAGTTGACATTTAGCAAACAATTTCCTCAAATGATGTTTTGTTTACCATCTTCCGTTATTTGTTCTTCTGTTAAGATATTGGATACCACTGAGACAAGAAAAGCATAGGCATATATTTATTAGACATCAGATACAGTTAATAATTCGTCTATATCAAAACGTAAGAAAGTACATGTATTCTACCCAATAAAATGGTGTAAAACTTTCGCTTCTTCATTTTCTGTTGAATCGTCCTATGTCCACACTCCATAGTGATCTTACACCATGGAGATGACTCAACTTACACTGACGAACACCATTTTTAAACTTTCAGAATTGCTGATGCATGTACAATGCATGCAAACAGACTGACATAAACTGAATTCCCATCATGTGAAACCTAACTACTAGAATTAATAGGAGTCCAACTTGAAAACGCCACAATCTCTTATAGCAATATTATAATTAATGAGAGCAGGTAAAATCCTGATAATTTGGGACTGGTAACTTTACACTCCAATACAAGGGGACTTTACACAAATAACAAAGAAAGAAAAAACTAATATGTGATTAGTATTAGAGTTTAGTAAAGAAGTTATGGAGAAAACTTATTGTGAATGATGGATTTCTTTTTTCTTCAATTTACTCCAGATGATATGAGAGAAGGAAAAAGGAAAAATAACAAGAACAAGAAAAGATAGTTCAGATACCTTCTTGAGTTGCACAATCACCTCTGAGATACAAAGTATCATCCCAGTTTAAATCCAAACCTTCTGTCTTTGCAAACTCCTCCAACACGTGACCAATGAGATTATAGGCAACTATGCTTGTCTCATCACAAACTTCTTGAACTGCGAGGTATTTGTTTTTACAAGTGGTTTGTTTCTCATATGTATCTTCTGGCTTGAGATGCAGCAGGTTTTCTGTGTTCATTCCAGTATTGCATTCAGGTTTATGTCTTTCAATATAATTACCATCTAACCCTCTTTTGATACTACTGGAGTCAAGAGAATCTCCTTGAGTGGAGAACATGGGTTCCTGCCCCTCGACAAGTACACTTTTGTTAGGGGTAAGGAGAGGATAACAGTCATTTCTGGTAGTTTCAGCAGTAGGTGGCTTGCAAACAAATGGTGTTGACTCCGCAGTACTTTCAGCTTCATAAAACGAATCATTAGAATGAGATATATCACTTCCACATAATCCATCTTTCTCTAGCCGACCATTATTTTCGTTATCATCACCATTGGACTTATCATCATCATCATCACATTCCTCCATTTCTTCCATATATGCGTCATCAAAATCTAAATCCAAGTCATGGTCAGGGGACAAATCCCAAACAATCTGCTTTACCTGAGCACTCACATTCAGTATACATTCTACCTCTGCTTCAATTTCATCTTTTGTGATGCGTCTATGCGGTTTACTTTGTGAATTCCTGTTGATAACAACAAGAGTTCTAATAACGCCTTGGGAATGGTATCCATATCACCACAATCGAAAAGATATTCAGTTAGCATTTTCCTAATTGCTGTTCGCAAACTCCTGTTTGACACTTTAGCATTTGGGTCTAACAGAGTCTTTAAGTTCTTCAGCTCTGGTATTCTAATTTTGTTTTAACTAACCAAATAGCCCTAGCTATCTCATCCTGCAATATCTTTATTTCTGGTGTGAATTGGTGAAACTCTGTTATGGTGGAATTATGAAAACCTGGTATCAACTTCAGCGATAAGCCTACTACTGCCATGGCTTTGGTTAATGGCTCCTGCAGTTCATCACCTATTGAAAGTTCTGAAAGCATCTTTTCAATTGTTTTCCTCACTTGATTAATTAGACTGTCTCGATTCCAGCCACTTTTCTTAGGCCGTAATTGCGGTAGACTTTGTCGCCCTCCTTTAAGCTTTCTGTGCATTGCAAGTAGGGTCTCATAAGGCAAGTCCCTGAGTCCATCCAGCACCTTTCTAACAGCAGCATGATGAGACTGTAATCTGGAGGACGAAAATGTGATAAAATTATCCTGGAAATATTGTGGGTATTGAGAAGTTGAGATATCTGTTTAGATATTTCCATTTTATCATTATGATTATCTTGTCTTCCAAAAACTTTTGGAAGAGATTCTCTGATAACCCTTTTCATCTTCCAACGAGTTTTCTCAAACTTCACTGAGCGTCCTGTTAGTATAACAGCAAAAAGGTAAAGACCCTTGTTAGTTAAATCATCAAGGCATGATGACAAGGCTCCGGATATATAGGGTGCGTCAAGCAATTTCATATCATCTTGAAATACTCTATTCCCTCCTTCAATATCACATGCTCCAAAAGCTGTGTCAACAGAAGATTTTACAGTCTCATAGAACATCTGGAAGACAGATATTTTGAGTAGATCATTAGTATATTCAAGAAAATATATTCTAATCAAACAGTTTCGGCATAATGCTAGAGCAACACAAGCATGGCAGAAGAAACACACAAGACAACTATGATCCTGGCTGGGAATGCGTCTTTATGAAACACTTAATCAGCAGCGCTTTTGTTAAAAACACCAATATATATGTATACATATATAATATATCAAACCAAAACTGCTTAACTAAATTTTAGTAGTACCTTAATGCAACCAGCTGACTGTGTTAAACCTTATATTGGTACAAGAAGAATGACAATCATATTAAACATGCATGATAATTTGTCGAAGAATAAAAGTATAAAGTACTGATACATAGCATACTGAATTCTCTATTACAATTCCAAGCAAAATTATTATAGGTATTATGCTTAAGACTATTTAAATGTGTCATTGTATTGATTCTATGGTCCAGATGCCCCTATATACTTTTCTCTTCCTACTACATGATAAAAAGCACTAAAGTTCTAAAAATAAAATGACAGCATAGATGGACATCTAACTCAACTCTAATGTATCAAAACTAGATCCACTATTCAAGCATTTATCCCTAAGCTAAACAAAGTAAAAAAGAAAAAGTCATAAAGGAACTTGTAAACACGGTCACCACTACTCAATTGATTACATTAGTGAAAACTTTTTCAATAAGGGACAAAATCCTATAATATAGTTAATTTTTCCTTTTACACCAAAAGAGCACAAGAAAAACTGAACTTCACATTTGAGAACTTGCTAATAAAAAATGAAATGCCTAGAATGGGCAAATGATAATGTGAAATCATGACTCACACGTATCCCTGCTTACATGTATTCATTCTTTGGTTTCAAAGACCTTGCTGCTTCATCCAAGCAGAAAGGTTCCTCTGACAATTGACAACCGGGAGCATCTAGGACTACTATTCTGTAACTGGATAAAATGTTCATTGGAAAGTATTTAGTTATAGATGGCAAGAGAAAAGGTTTGGCTGCTAACAACAATTCCTCAAAAAATGAAAAACCCGCCAACATGTCATTGATAAGACTCAAACACGAGCCCCATTTCTAAAAAATAAGCAGAAATACCATCTCCGCTGCAAATAGAGCTTTCGCTATAATATAAATATAATACAAAGGAAGACAGATAAATATCGTCCTCACCACCTGAGGGCCGGCATTGGGATCAAGCTCAAACTTTTTTTTCTTTTGATAAGAAGCTCCAGATTTTAAAGGAAACTCAAAAATAAGAAGATAGCTGTATATGCATAGCTTCAGTGGGTAACTTCCAGGGGTTTGTTTATCGTCTATGCATAACCTTGAAAAGTGAACCATTCATAGCAAGTGGTTGTCTACTTTGCACGCACTTCCATGCGCATTCTGATTATTATCAATGTGATAATTTACATCATTAAAGAAAAAGAGCATATGGCATTTTTAAGGTTCAACTGAGACTGCCATCCAAACTTTAAAACTTGAGACAAGGCCGACATTTCTAGATTCCTAAATTGTTGATAACCCAAAATATTCATATTGCATGGCTACGAAATGCATGAATTACATAAAATCTTCTTTCAAATCGAACACTTTAACGGAGATGAGAAATTAACTTACATCGTCTTCCCTAAGAAACGATTCCGGCAAACACGTGTTGTTCAAGAACTCACACCTCTCCAAATTCTTCTGCTCAGATTTGGAAGTAGGAAGCCCCAACAACCACCTGCACGGATTTCAGCAACACGTCGCAGAAAATTAAATAAAAAAATCAATCAATCAATAACATAACATTAACATCACCCTCACAACAATCAAAATAAAATCGGGAACAAAAGGAAGAGCGAAATTGTCATAATTCACACACAATCTGGATTCAGGAACTCATTAATGGAAAATTCGTAAGCAAAAAGGAGAAAAAAATTATTTGAATGACCTCCTTTTGAGCTGTATCTGCTTCTCTTGGCGTTTAATTTGTGACCAGAGGGACTCGCAATCCGTCTGGTAAAACCCCAAGTTCTCCATAAGCTGCGATCTTGCCATTGATGTCTGAGAGAGAGGGCGGGAGGATTAGAGAGTGTAGGGTTAGGGTTTTAGGAGCCGCTTAATGAGCCGAACCACTCGGCTTTGGCTAATCAATTGGGAAATTGGTGGCTTTGACCCCACAGCAGATATTGGTAAAATGTTACCTTTTTATTTAATTTTTAATCTGATTTTCTCACTCCTCTATTTTCCATTTACACTCCCTTTTGTTATTTAATACTTTTGAATCAATTTTGTTATTTTTTGTTATTTTTCTTTTCTATTCTACCCTCATCCTACATTAATATTTTGATATGGGTACTCAATCAATGAGAGTGAATAAAACCCAGGCTTTTGGATTTCTACATCATCATCGTAACACAACAAAACCCAAGCTTTTGGATTCTCCTATAGACTTGGAATGCCGAAATTTTTATATGAGAAGAATTCGTTTTCATTTTTTATTATTTTTTATTTCTCTTCAATCCATGGCTATTTGTACAATATGAGAAGGTACCCAAACAAAATGAAGGTATGAAATGATCTCATATGAAACAAAGATAACTCCATTAATGTGAATTTGAAACTCATAGTCTCAAACTCAATTTCATTTCCCGATTCATGTCCACAAGTTCATAAAAATATTTCATCCAATATAGGTTTTCCGAATGATTATGACGGAGAAGAACATGGAAAAAGAAAATTTATGGCCAATTTGGCATTGCTGTACTGTAAAAATAATTGCTGTCATATTTGCTGTGAAAGAAATCAGCTGTGAGAGAAATCAGTTTAGCGTTTGGTAAACTTTTTGTTAAAAGTGTTGTCTGTACAATAATCAATTTATGAGTGTTTGGTAAATTTTTTGTGAAAGTGTTGTGAGCTATGTATAATGACTAAAAATGGCATTATGTTGAAATGACTTTTCTGTTCAAGTATTTGGTAAAAAGAAAAGCACTTTCACTTTATATATATATATATAATTTTTTTTTGGTATTAAATATGTTTCCATGACACCCTAATTTTATTTTAATTATAAAATAAATAAAGTTTCCATTAAAAATAAATATATTGTAAAAAATATGGTCATAACAAAAATTAAGCTAGTCATAAAGCAATCATATACATTTCTAGGTAAATGAACTCATTAAACTATTGCTATATGATTTCTTAATGCCTTCATTTCTTGTGTTGCAGAACCATCTTCTTGTTGTGCATCAACCTCTATCTCAATCTCTTCACCTTGAATACCATTCAGGTCATCTTCACTCATCAAAATGACAATCACGTTTGGCATGTCTTCTTATATAGTTATGAAGTGTCATGGTTGCAATAATGATTTTTACTTGTTTTACAAAAGGATAACTAGGCATGTCTCGTAAAATACTCCATCTCTTTTCCATACTACAAAAGTGCATTCAATAACACTTCTAAGGGAAGAGTGTGCATGATTGAATACCTCTTTATGACCCATCAGTTGAACACCCCTATGAAAATCTGGAAGATGATATCTTTCACCTTTATATGGTTCTAAGTAGCCTCTCATTTGTGGGTATCCCGCATTGACTAGATAATATTTTCCTAAAAAAGAAATTAATTGATTATTCACAATGTAAAAAACTTAAATATAAATTTTATGAATTTTTTCTTTAGATAGAAATAGTACCATTTGGAGGTTTAGGAAAATTCAAACTCTGATCACGTAAAGCTGATAGAAACATTCATGTGTCATGGGCCGTGCCTTCCCATCCGGCACATGCAAATATAAATTGCATGTCAAAATTGCATGCAGTCATCACATTTTGAGTAGGTATCTCTTTTCTACCAATAAAATGGTATTTGATTAGAAGGAGATACTATGGCTTGCACATGAACACCATATATAGCACCAATACAATCCTACAAGTAATAAAAAGACAAACATAATAATAATTATAACATAATAAAACAAAGAGAAATATTTAAGAGTAGCAGATGCAATAGTTACCTTGAAATGAGGCATATATCTAGAATTAGCGCTGGCAATGGGTCGTGTCATGTCGAACTCTTAAACGTGTCAAAAAACCTTAACCCGTACACGACCCGTTTACTAATCGTGTCAAGAACTGCAAACCCAAACACGACCTGTTTATAAACGGGTTGACACGACACGACCCGTGTAACCCGTTTACTAAATAGGTCATGTTTGGGTCATAAACATGTAACCTACCTATTTAAAAACATGCTTCAAATCTAAGGTCATAAACAGGTAACCTACCTGTTGAATAACCTGTTTAGTGACCTATTATTAACCTGCTTCAAATATATGGTCATAAACAGGTAATCTACCTATTTAATAACCTGTTTAGTAACCTATTATTAACCTGCTTCAAATCCATCATAAACCAGCTCAAATATTTAGCCAAATCAAACATTTCCAGCTTAAACATTCCAAATCCAACATTTCCAGCTCAAACATTCCACAATCACAATAAAATTAAAAAAACTTCAAAGTCTCTCTAAAATCCAAATAAAACAGAAACAAAAATCTTTGATTAAATTACAACATAAAATACATAATCACATTCCTAACTCAAATATTTAGCCACTAGCAGCGATGGTATTGGAGCACTCAGCAGATTGGGAGAGATTTATGGCTATGTTACTAATATCCTCTGTCAATTCTTCCAAGTTGGGTGCCATAGTGGGATTTTCTGCAATTCAAACCATAAGACTTTAGATGATGATAAAAAGAAACAAATACAATAAATAAGATGATGGGAAATATACCTTGGTCACCAAATATCCAGTCTCGTGTACAAATTAGTGCCTCAACATTTTCAGGTTTGAGAGCACTACGATACTGATCAAGCACTCTACCACCAACACTAAATGATGCCTCAGATGCGACTGTAGATATTGGAATAGATAGTACATCACGAGCCAAAATAGATAATTCGGGATATCGAAATTGGTTGGCCTTCCAAAAATCAAGAACATTCAAATTTATCTTCCTATCTATTTTAGGCTCATCCAAATACAATTGCAGCTGTGACTTTTGGGAAGATGTGATAGACTCCTCACTTTCAAAGGTATCAAATTCCTAATAATATAACAACATTATTAATATGAGCACGTAGTCAAATATAAACTGAAATTTGATGTATTATGAACAAAATAAATAGCTTTTTACCTTCATAACATCCATGCATTCCTTTGATACCATGTCATCAACATGAGAACGAACACTATTTGAGGTACTTGATATACCAGCAACTGATTCGGCCTTAGAATGTATTTGGACATATAAATCAAAGAGGGAACATAACATCTCACGAACTTTGGCCATTTCTTGGGAGTTTGTACCATACAACCTTTTATAACAAAATTCCACAAACTGAATTTTATATCTAGGATCCAATATTACAGCAATTGCAAGGATCAAGCTGTACTCTTTCCAATACTTATCAAACTTTTCCATCATTTGAGTTGCCATAGATCTCATGAAATCATCTTGATCAATTTTAGCTTTTCTCAAAGTATCTTCCACCACAAACACTTGAGGAAAATACAGATTTGCAGTAGTGTATTTAGTTCCAGAAAACAAGCAAGTGACGTCATAAAATACCTTGAGAAACTTGTTAAGTTTTTCTAATTTTTGCCACTCAACTTCAGAGAGAGAATGCTTGTAATTTGAATCACTTAATTGCAAATGCAGAAATGCCCGTTGATAATAAAGTGCACTATCAATCATTAGAAATGTGGAGTTCCATCTAGTGGGTACATCTTGGCGCAAACCCTTTTTACAATCTAAAGAAACTTGTGCAGCACAATCTAAGAACTTCTGTTTCCTCCCTTGTGAACCTCTAACATACTTAATACTTTCCCTAATTTTCCCCACAGAATCATGAATGTGTTTCAACCCATCTTGCACTATTAAATTCAGGATGTGTGCACAACACCGAATATGAAAAAATATACCATTCATTAATAGTGCATTCTGCAAGTTAAGCTGCCCCTTCAACAACATAACAAAACTATCATTTGAAGATGCATTGTCCAAAGTCATACAAAAAAGTTTCTTTTCCACCCCCCAACTAGTCAACAACTTATAGATCTTCTCACACAATGCAACACCACTATGAGGAGGAGGCATAAAACTGAAATTCAAAATTCTTTTTTGCAATTTCCAATTAGCATCAACAAAATGGGCAGTGAGAGAAAGATAACCATCTGTGGTTATAGAAGTCCACAAATCAGATGTCAAACAAACTCTTCCACTGATTGAACCCAAAAGTTCCTTAAGCTTACCCTTTTCTCTATTGTACAAACTCAACACATCAGCCTTTGCAGTATTTCGAGATATCAATTTGATATCAGCACAAATGTAATTAAACACATCCCTAATTCCAGCATACTCAACAAATTGAAAGGGCAGCTCATGCTTGATAATTGCCATCACTAGTAATTCACGAAATTTATTGGGATCAAACTTAGCAGACCTTGTTATGATAGACCCTTCAGATTTAGATAATAATAATTGGCCAATATCACGGGTATCGGATTTCAAACAAGAATCAAGATGACGCTTTAAATTTCCAGTACCATATTTACTATCACACAAGTACTTATGACCACATTTCACGCACTTCGCATAAAGCTTATTATCTGGATCAACAGGAAGAATTTCAAACTGAGTCCATAAATGTGATGTGATTTTTCTACGTCTCTTACCAACATGAGTTGCAACAACTGCATTGTTGTTGTTAGACGGATCTGAATCTTGCACATTGCTTCTAGCTGCTTCATCATCAAAACTATCACCCCCATCTTCAAAAACATCCATCTGTATAAAACATAATAATTTTATGTTAGTCAAAAGATAAACAAAAAACAAAGAAATCCAATAAAACAAAAACAAAAAAACAAAGCAAAACAGAATATTAATCACAACCATGAATGTGAGATTTTTTTACAGGAAGAATTTAAAACTTAGGCACGTTGAACCCCTAATTGTATATTTTTTGAACTATGAGATGAGCTCCAGCTTCCAGACTTGATCAAAACACTGTCAATGGACTATATGGAAGCAATGAAAATCATGCAATTTAAATCACAAGTCTCTAATATATTATTATTTGCTTAAAGGTACATTACAACGACTGAATTTTGGGACATTAAATGTAGGTGTAGGCAACCCTATTTGACTTCCTACCTTTTCAAAGCAGGTGCTCCATGCAGACATCAAAATTACAATCTAGATAAAGGGAAATTAAGTCCCTTGATTTAGCATTGATAAGAACAACAGAGCATATAACAATTATAACAATTTCTTCATTGTGGATCCTAGTTCTCCTACAACTACTCTGCATTCAGATCATTTAATATACAGTTATATTATTTTGGTATTCATGCCAAAGGGAATACTACAACCTTTAAGCCCCAACATTCAGAAATTTCAAAAATACTCAACTACTTCCAAGATCAATACTCAACATTTAGAACTTTTTGACCTTTACAAGTCTAAAACAATGGCTGGCTCTTTCACTTAGTAAACGGACTAACAAAATGAAAGAAAACAAATCGACCCATTACTCAAACGAAAGCATCAGAGCTTTAAAAGTAGTTTTTTCATGTATGGTAGTAACTAGTAAGTAAGCATATAAAGATCAAAGGCCAAACCCAACAGAAAATAACAACGTAGACAGAGAGAGAGAGAGACGAAGACAGACCTGTAAGGCTTTGAGAGCACAAAACAGCACCCAAAGGAGAAAATTCAAGAACCCAAGCAAATCTCAGATCTCCTAAAAAGATTTAGTTTTCTTTCTTTTTTGGGTGTGATCCAGCCAAAATGGCCATAGAGAAACCACACTGAAAGTTGTTGGTTCGGAAAGGATTTGGAGGCGGCTGGGAGTTAGGTTTTCGAATGAGAATAGATGAGAGAGAGAATATGTTATGTTATATTTATGTGTTTCTTTTCTAGGTTTTTAATTAAATGGGTTATTGGGTTATAAACGGGTTGACACGACCCGTGACACGACCCGTTTAATAAACGGGTTAAACAGGTGTTTTAACGGGTTGGCGGGTTGACCCGAAACCCACCCGTTTATAAACGGGTCAGCAGCAAGTTGACCCGAAAATGACCCGTTTTTTAATCGTGCGGGTTCGTGTCGTGTTTTTAGCGTGCGGGTTTCGAGTCGTGTAACGGGTCGTATCGGAAATTGCCACCCTTATCTAGAATCATGTAGGATTTCCTTTGGAGTGTTGTTAAATGCATTTTCCAATGGTTTAATTACATCCACAGCCAAACGACATACAACATCAAGTAAGATACTAAAATATATGCTTACAGTCTCACCAGAATGTTGAAAGCGATCCTATGCTTGCTTATTTGCAGAACCATGTCCTAAGATGTTCAAGAACATCCCTAACATCTCAGCAGCACTCATTCTTCTTGAACCCTTTAATCCATAATTTTTTTGCAAGTCATCACACAATCTTATAAATACATTTTTGTCCATCCTGAACATATTATGGCAACGACTTTCATTTCCTTGTAACACTCCATCAACCAAATATTTCTTGTATGATGGTCATTCATACATGGGGTCTTATGAATATATTTCACGTAATAAAGTTCAATAAGACGGGCAGTGACACATATAATTTGGTTGATCTCATCCTTATCTTCTGGAATGGACATGTTCTAAAATAGCCTGTAAATACGTTTATTTCCTTCAAAGGTCATTTTCACTGTGCATGCATGTTTATATAAAATAAAATATAATGACAAGAATTAAAATATCACTCACAAATTCAAATAAAAGATCACTCAACATTAATTCAAATATCACTCACAAATTCCAATAAAAGATCATCCAACACAAAAAAATTAACAACACAAAAACAAAACATAAATTAAAGTCACCAAACTAGCAAATTCTATCCTTCAACTAACTCATGATTAAGAAATTGAAGCTTGAGGTTAGGATCTTCTATGACAACAAACATATCTCTCTTCTCTTGAGTACAAAACAGTTTAGTTACAAACCACCACAACTTGCTACCACGCTTTGCCCCAGGTAAAGTTGCAACATCTTTTATCACTTCAGCAATACTAGTTCCTTGTGAAACTGTATTAGCCATTGATGTTCCGGTACTCCTACTCTCAACCACCTCAACAAGATGTTCAATTTGCTGTGATAATTTTGCAGCACCTCCCATTTTCCCCCCTTCATTTACCTTTCTTCTCATTATTATCTTCAATTTCAAGTGATTGATTAGTTCTCTTTTTTCGGAACATTGTTTGTAGTGTGAGTGGTTTCAATTGGCATAGACTCATTCGATCCACCGTTAACTTCAAGTGGATCGACATCATCATCACTTTCAACTGGAAGTACACCAGATGAAGGTGCCCAAGAATGCTTACCTGTGGCTGTGACGTTCAAAAACATCCTATCTAACTTCTCCTCCATCTCAGGACTAATACCCTCAAATTGGAATTTTGCATATTTGGGTTCTACCTGCATTATGGAATATACAAATATTATAATGAATTTTTAAACATTGTTAAAAAAACATGGATATTAATAATATAATAAAACAAGAACAAAACATTCAAATATCTTAATTTTATCTTGCCACCATTCATCAGATGCATCAACGATATTCTTAGTGACATTCTACCCAAGACCAGTTTCCTTCCCTTTTAGATCTTTCCATAATTTCCATTCTTTTTTTAGTAAATCCCATTTGTTTTTCAATTGTAATTTTTCATACGGTCTTCCTATCTCTTTACTAATATTTGTAACCAACCTTGCCCATCCAACTTTGTTAAAGTGAGTATCGGGATGATTGCCTAGATCCATCTCCTTGATGCAAAGGTCAATGAAGATGGCTATAGTTTGAGCATTCCACAGTGCTGACACTTTTCGGGATCCACTTGCAACATTTTCAATTGTGGTGAAGTTACTATTCTTCTTTGCTATCTTATTGCAACAAAGACATTATACATAAGCACAAAAGGAAATTATACATATACTAAAACTGAATCCCGAGTATTGTTCCTAGACTATTCATTCGCAATAATGGAATGACGTTTGTGCCCCTAATTAACTGGTCGCTCTGTTAATTACATTGACTAATGAACAGTGCAATGACCTTTTTGCCCTGATGCACAACGACATAGCCCTTTTGCCTAGTTTGAGTCTTAATTATGTTGACTCAACCCTTGCGAGAAACCTGTTCGATGAAACCTGTGCGAACAAAGACAACCTGTTCGATGAAACGAAACCAAATCAGAGAAACGTGTCGCTTCTTCTCTAATTATCAGGGTACTTTCAAGGTAAGCCTGCATAGCTTATTCTCATATCTCTTTCCCCTTGCGAATCTCCCCTTTCGTTTGGTTTTCATCTCATCTCATCTGCTCTTCATTGGTTCAACCATTTTTCATCCTCTGTCGAACGTTCGTTTGAGAGATTTTCGATCTGCAAGTTCTTCCATCATTTCTCTTCAGGTTTGCATCCCCTCAACTTTTTAACATATTAATAGCTTTTGATGGGTTTCTGAGTATGTTGTTGAATCCTTTGATTCCTTGCCCAAATTGATTCTGTTGCTGTGAAAGCTATTTCTCCTACCTAGATATTTTTATCACACCTGTTAATATATTATACATCTTTTTGGTGATTATTAAAGAATTATATTTGGAAAAATCCTACTAACAAAAGTTAAGGATTTGACTTTAGATGCATTAAGATTCAAATTTTTTAAATCCAACAGAAGGGAAAAACCAGAAGATCACTCAAACAAATTATCCACGTTTTGATGCCCACTTTAGTTTTCAATAAATAAAAAATTATAGAAATTCCAATTGACAGATAAATGGCCTTATTTTAAAATATTTTGTAGAGAAAGAGAGAGAGAAAGAGAGAGACCAACCTCAGGATGTTAATGATTGCTAGAGAGAGAAAAATAGAGGAGAATAGTATTTGTATAAAGGTTTTTTTTCATTGAAATTATGATTTATATATGTGGTACGCTTGATTTTTCATTGAATTGATGAACTGAGTATATGTTATATTAAAGATTTGACTATGGTTATGAACCGAGCATGTTCAAGATTTAGTATTTTATAAATCAAATTTATGAACTTCGCATCTATTATACGTTTTTTTTTGTTAACCAAAGTTTTGTAATGTGCATTGTCGGATGACATTGATACTTAACAAGATAAGAAAAGTTAATTTAGATTGTTTCTTATGAATTCTTTATCTCCGATGATATGATGGGCAACAAGATTTGATTAGGATGACTCTACATATCCATACTTCTTTCTTATGTTTCATGTGGCCTTCGGCTACAGGTGGTACCCCTTCCAATTTAAGCTAAGTAGTTTCATGCAGTACTATGCCCCCCGGATTCTTAGATGATTTGATAGGAAACACAATTTGTTCAGGATGACTTTGCATATACATTTTTTCTAATTAATTAAGGATCAAGATTATGAATGAGGACTATGTGATGAGTTTTTGAAATTCTCCATTTTTTACTTTACAAAAAAAAAGGAAAATTGTTATTGATTCTATTAGTATAATTTGTTTATGCACTGTTTTTCTGGGATTTTGTTGCTTGCTGAGTTTATTTTCTATGTTTTTCATTTTGAATCATTACAACTGAGATATTCTAGCTATCTTAGCCTTTGATTGTTGCTTTTGATTGAACTGGTTGATGATTTTGCTTTCGATTTGGATTGTTTGGAGGCTTTTTGTCATATTTTATTTTAAATTAAAAACTTTTGGGCTCCAAACAAGGAATTGATTTTTAATACATGAGGTTGATCAATAAGAAGATAATTTCTCAAAATCTCTGTTGGTAAATGAGTAATTGTTAATAACCTTTCTTTACTTTTTCTTTCTTTTGTTGCATCAATATAATAAAACCTCAATCCAATTTAAGCAAATGCACAAATTGGTTAATCAGATTCCACGAATTATGTGTGAATGATGTGCAAGTTCATAAAAACAAATGTATTAATTCATTAATCAATTATAATGAATGATGTTAAAAAAACTGAGTAGTTAGTCTTGACCAAAAGTTGATATATTAAAGCTAATGAACTAATGAACCAAAAGCTTATGCATAAAAGTGTGCTTAGTGACTAATGTTGCTTTTCATATTTGATTTTCAAGTCTATTGGTGTGTCAAAATAGTTAGGTTTAATGTATGCTAGGAATGTCTCATTGGTTAAGTGTTAATAAAATCTTTATTTTTGCTGTTTACACCATGCTTCCGAAGTATAAGATGTGATGATAATTGAAATGCCTAGAGACTAATCCTGCTTCTGATATTTTATTTTCAGCTGATTTGCTTAGGAAAAAAGGCGTAATTTTATTGCTCACTGTTGATTAAAGGTATCTATTTTTCTTTTGGCTGAGTGATATCTTCTCTTAAAGATTTTATGAAAGCTAGCTGGAACTATATGTAATTCATAGTCTCAGGTTACTTATTCTTACTAATAAAGAAATATATGATCAAACAAACTAAATCACCAACTTCATCACCAACTTTTTAGGATTATAGAATACTCAAATATAACTAATCAGTTTATAATTATGGATACACCATGTATCAGTATCTTTGGCTACGTTTTTCTGATCTTGGTTGTAATTGACAGATACATTTTTTGCTGCTAATCTTGGCTAGGAGCTTGGCTTTTGCATTAGTAATCTCTCTCTCTCTCTCTCTCTCTCTCTCTCTCTCTCTCTCTCTCTCTCTCTCTCTCTCTCAGCACACACACACACAAACACACATTTATATATATATATATATATGAAAGTTTGAAACTTTCAAAATAATTAGCTTAGAAGGTGTTGCTTTTAATGTGCTGTTACTTTGGTTTTTCTTACATTTATTTAGAGTATGTATATATATGTGTGTGTATTAATAGGAATGTATATGTAGTATATATGAATGTATATGTATGTATATATATTCTATAAAACCTGCAGGAAATTTTTAGGATTTTGTTAATACTTGCTTTTAAGAAAAGGAGAACAAATAGAAGTCATAGGGTAAGATGGGAGCAAATGATTATTTATCAAAAAAAGTTAGAATCACTAACTATAGGTCGGTTTATCAAACCTTAATTGTCTGATGTCTGTATGTATCCAACACAACCATGGCCACCTTATAGGAGTGTATGTGCTTCATAGGTTTGTTCAGACGATTGCTTGCCATTAATAACTCCTTTCTTTCTTCGTTTTCTTTTGAAAATCATTAATCATCATAAGTAAGATGATTATCTGATTTTTGTATATTAGTAGCTCCTTTTTTATTATCATTTCTTTTGAAAATCATTAATTATCATAAACCATATGTTTTTAGACCATTATCACAAACAAAATCCGTATGTTTTTATTTTTTGCTCTTTTGATATTGTGTCATTGAAAATTGTTATTTATGTGGTTGTGATGTTATTGCTCATATCTGGTTTGCTTGGTTGGGCTATAGAAATTGTATTAATTCATTTCAGATGTTGTGTTGTTTGAAAATTGTTATTTTTATATCTACAGTATTGTTGGTGTGTGTCCATTTTGCTTGATTAGGCTATAGATGTAATAAAAATATTATAATTTAACTCATGCATGTTTTTTTTTCTTTTCCTGCTATCGATCTGTTGGTTGGAATTTGTAATTTTTGAATATCATGTCTAAAAGGATTGGAAAAACTAGAGAAAGCCTGAGGACACAGGAAACCCATATTTCTGGCACTTCGAGTGGTAAACAAATCTGTCATGAAAATATTTGTTGCACTAATACTAAGCATAAGCATGAAGCCAAAAAAAATTATGGAACCAGAGTTTCCAATAGAGCTTTCATAGTGCAACAAGCCTATAGTTCTGGTAGTTAAGCTGGTATAGAATGTTCTCACGAAAATGTATATCATCCTAACAACGAAAATAAGCATCGAGACAAAAAAAATTCCGAAACGAGCCATAAAAAAGCCTTTCAAACTAAGAATAAGAAACGAAAATGTGTTCAGAATATATGTTATCATCACACAAACACAAGTCAAACAACCAGAGAAGAGATTTCATTTGACACTTATTATGATCAGATGAATAGGGGTCAAGCATTTTATCAGAGGAAGAGGCAAAGTACATTTTTTTTCCTATGTTAATATTTATTTTCAACTCTATCTTTATATTACTCATGGCGTACATTTGTCTTATTTTTTTCTCTTTTTGTCCTATTCTATGTTTCCTTTCTTTGTAGGAATGATGGAACAGTATGTGGATTTGGGAGATAAAAATTATAAGTGCATTTATTGTGGTGCACTTTTTTGGTTCAAAGAATCTGTTAAAAAAGCAAATGCAGCCAATGAGCCTCTTTTTACTCTTTGTTGTCAACAAGGAAAGATCAAACTTCCAATTTCAAAGCCAACACCTCATTTTTTAGAAAATTTACTTGATCCGGGTAAAGGCCCAAAAAGTTTGCTGTTTAGAGAGAATATCAGGGCCTATAATTCTATGTTTGCATTTACTTCAATGGGAGCCAAAGTTGATCACTCAATTAACAGTGGACCAGGTCCTTACATTTTTAAAATTAGTGGTCAAGTTCATCATTTAATGGTTCTTTGTTACCCTTTGAGGTGAATGTCCAAAATTTGCTCAGCTTTACATAT